TTAACGTTCTCAAGCAGAGTGAAAAGAGTGCAGTGAAATTGATGCAACTGGTGGTGGAAAATTTCCCATCATATCGAGATGAGGCAACCTTTCAGGTATATAAGTGCAGGATACCTTGGTTATTAATACATTTCAGCTGTTGGGCAACCTTTGGGTTATCACACCAAAGCTACATTTAAAGTCCAGTAACAACTTACTTCTGTGAATAGCATGTAAATGTAAAAAGGAGCCTAAGACCCACTAGCTCAGGTTTATTCTACGATGAAAGCGTCTATTTATAGAACCATATTATTTCAAGTACATAGTTATTCATTACAAAGCATTATGTGATCATATAACAACTGTAGGCAAATTATCCTGGGTCAATGTGAACTCTCTGGTTTTTGATCGATACCAAAACCTTATTGATGGAGTAGGAGATATGAGCATTTGAATTTATTTACACTAACATGCACATTACCAATTTACAGTGTGGAGAATGAATTCATAACCTTTACAATTAATACATTTAATTAAAGGACCACTATAGTGCCAGGAAAACACTTTTTCCTGGCACTATAGTGCCCTGAGGGTGCCCCCACCCTCAGGGACCGCCTCCCGCCCGGCTCTGGAAGGGTGAAAGGGGTTAAAACTTACCTTTTTCCAGCGCTGGGCGGAGAGCTCTCCTCCTCCGATCCTCCTCCTCTCCTCCCCGTCGGCTGGCTGCGCGCGCATTCAGCCGGTCCCATAGGAAAGCATTATAGGGTCTTTAGGTCCCCACTCCCGCTGGGCTGAAGGGGTTAAACACTTACCTTTCTCCAGCGCCGGGGAACTCTCCTCCCTCTCCCGACTTCAGCTTTGAATGTGCATGCTTCTCAATGCTTTCCTATGGACGTCAGCGTCTTCTCACTGTGATTTTCACAGTGAGAAGCACGCAAGCGCCACTAGCGGCTGTCAATAAGACAGCCGCTAGAGGAAATAGGGGAAGGCTTAACCCATTCATAAACATAGCAGTTTCTCTGAAACTGCTATGTTTATGAAAAAATGGGTTAACCCTAGCTGGACCTGGCACCCAGACCACTTCGTTATGCTGAAGTGGTCTGGGTGCCTAGAGTGGTCCTTTAAGCAGTTTTCTAAATTATATATACATGCAAGTGTAGGCCTTCTTACTGTAGTTTCTCAAGATCTCTTAGTAGCGAGAATGTCTTCTCATGTCTTACTAAAGCATTACTCCAGGCATTAGCGGTTATGATTTCAGGATAACCCTCTCATTATTCTCCAGTTAGAGGGGGAAAAAGGTTTGACAACATGCCTCTTACCATTGTCCGGCCAGGTGTTTAAAGAGTCAGTGGAATGACATTCGGCTTCTGTCATTCATTCAATGGCTGAAGGTCAACCGAGGGCTCTCAGTCCATGAATGAACCTCTGTATAAAATATGCCCATAATTAACATTAACCAACCTGCAGCAGAAAAAAATACTAAAACACTGCACATATGGGCTACTTGCACCATAAACACTTGAAATCACTGAAGTGTTAATTGTGCTTGAAATAACCCTTTAGCTGAACAGCATGTGGTCATATTTCTGAAAAGGTACACTGTTTAGGTACGTAATGACTGATTTCTCTATTATTTTTTAAATTTCAGAGGAGAAGTTTCATTCTGTTATTTTCAGAATTGTCATGATTTCCATTTTAAAGGTTTGGTTACTCAGTAAAGTGAGTATTTTCTCTATCCTACATCCAGGGTATCAAAGTGGCTTTCTACAAGCGAGCACAGATCCTTGTTGGAGATATTTGGGGTGTGCTAGAAGGGAAAGGTGATGGCTGCTTTTCTGACATTCGTCAAATAACCATGTTTGCAGACTACAGGATTCCACAAGCCTTGGTCCACTTTGGTGTGATGAGATATTCAGAGAATCTATTGAAAAAGCTAAATGAAGGTTTGTCAACTTAGTACGGATTTACTTCTCGTGTATTACTGTGGGGAGAGGGGGAGAGGGGGAGAGGGGGAGAGAGGGAGAGGGAGAGGGAGAGAGAATATATATATATATATATATATATCACACACACAATCGGTTAAAGGGTTACTACAAGCACCGCAAGCTCTTTAGTAATTTGAAGTGGTCATGCTGCATGGAGTCGGTACACTGCCTGTACAGAATTTAACCCCTCTGCTGTGAGAGGTGCAACTCCACTCCTAGCCCGGCTTAGGTCACATCTTACACATCTACCTATGCTATGCATATATTCCCCTCTTGAGTTAAAGGTAGAGATTGCAACACATTAGCTCAAAAAAAGGGACACTTCAAACATCATCACTACAGTTTATTTGTAAAACATACATTAAATTGCAGTTCTCAACCTTTATCAATTCAGTTACACTAAAAGGGAAATGTTGAAGAGAAACAAAATTAAATCTACTTAGGGTAACCCAAGCTACTTGTCCTGGCACACGAAATAATTTTCATTAGAAAGACTTCTTAGAGCATCTCTCCCTCTGTTCTTACTCAGTGTGCTTACAGTATGTACTGTGTCCTTTCTGTAAGGTTGTCCAGCAGGGGTAAAAATGTCAGCATGAGGTTTTTTTGTTGGTTTTTAATAGGAGAGGGAGGCTTGTTAGCAATTAGTTCAGAATACTGCTGCTGAGCCCGATGCCATTTAAGTTAAAAGGACAATGTAAGCAGCATAACAACTTCAAATTAATGAAGTGGTTTTGGTGTATAGATCAAGCCTATGCATTCTCACTGCTCCATTTTCTGCCATTTAGTAGATACTTCCCTGACTGACACTCACACAGCCCCATAAACACTTCCTTTAAAAAGTCCACATTTAAAGCTTTCCTTAGAACAGTGTGTTTAATTTAGAATTTATCTCATGCTTTAAGAACCTGCAACAGCCATCTGTGTGTGATTAAAATTCATTTAACAAAGTAGGATATTAACATTTCTAAAGGAAACACACTGTACTGTCACAGGTGGTATGGGCTACTGTTGTGGTGTGTCATTGTGTCCTTGTGTGTTAGTATTGATGACTGTATGTCAGTTTTTGTGAATGAGTGTATATGTGTACACTGGTGAATGTGTGGGAGGAAGGGAGGTAGGGGGGGGGAGAGAGAGAGAGAGAAAGACACCCACCATTACTTAAAAAGAACCTTTGCAATAAACTTGTGTGTACACACAGCTTTAAGAGGGGCCATGAACTGGCCCTTGCCTATGCAATCATAATCCAGCTTGGCATGTAGGCTTTATGAGTCACCGCCAGAGGAAGTGTGCCTACGGCTGCATAAACAGAAACAAGTGCTTTAACTCCGAAATGATAGAGAATTGTAGTTGGACTGCAGGGGCATGTTTACTTTTAAGTGTTAAAGCTATTAGGGTATATACTAACCTCAGAATTGTACTAGCTTAATTTTTATTTATACCCTTTCTTTTCTTGCCCTGGTGACTGCAGGGGCATAACCAAAACAGTACAATTACATCATGAAGCTACGGCTGTTTTGGTGTTTAGAGCGTCTAAGTTTTTGAAAAGTATCAGAATGGTGAGATTATGATTGTTTCCTGTTCGTGACTCATTTGATTACTTAATCCATATTGTTTCATTCACAGGATGGCTTTTCCAGAACGAAGACGTAGAGGAGATAGAGATCCGTGGTTGTTCCATCTGGGCTGTGGAACTTATTTGTGAGCAGATCGAGGAGCTGTTCCGGAAAAATGGGGGGAAAATGAACAATGAAATCACACCTGTTCTGATTGACCACTTCCTATGGGACTATGCACGTGATTACAGGGATGAAATAAATGTGGTTCCATATCACAGGGTGCGCTGCATTTACTATTAAATTAATCAAGGGCCTAAAAATTTGTTTTCCCCTTTCTACGGTTTTAAACGTGGTATATTTTTCAACAATTGTCAGTGTTTTTGTTAAATAAATGGGATAATACTTCAAAATTCTGGGTAAGTTGCCAATTTAAAACAATTCTCCAACTCAACCATTGTCACAGCTTGGCTATTTTTGCATTTCGTTCTGGATTTCCAACAATGAGTTGATTTGTGAATAAACACCTTTGTTTTAGGCACTATTGAAATAAAGACATTTCTGATTTTGTATATATCTACAAAACTTGGTCAGCTTTTGTTTTAATGCTGCATTTTCCTACTTAAAGAGCCCAAAACACATCATGTTGTCTAATTCTTTGTGGTCAGTGTGTTTATATTTTGCAGTGCACAATCTTACTTTTGCAGCACAAAGTATAAGAACTATAACTATTTCAGTACTACAGAACTCTGAAAATTCATCCTTTTGGTTCCTGTTAAAGAATTAGAGGATTAGTGTTTATAAACATTGTGCTAGTAAAATAACATTTAATGTTCTAAGGGAACATTAGTGCTGTTCTATTATAAACAGAAGAATGGATGTATTGGCAGTAAATGTCCAACTCTTAACATTTTTACAATCTTTCACTATAGATCTAGAACTGAACATGGTTATAGTTTGTCTACCAACTCATAAAAAGCTCACCTGTAGCTCAAGTTTAAATAAACTTGCAATTACATAAACACTGTATACTTTTTGTTCCAATAAAGAACCATTGTGGATTTATTTTCACAAGCTCCCAATTGCTTTATTTATTTTGATGTAGTGTAAGTTTTTGTTATCTACAATCCTCAACAATCACTAATAAATCAAAGAGTATCTAATAAATCAAAAGGGATATTTAACACCAGGAACTGACCAGAAATTTCCAATTATAGGTTAATTTTAGCTGATCTGGAGAAATTTCCCAATTTGGTCAAAGCTAAAACTCCCAGGTCAGTTTTTGGTTTAGTCAATAATTCAGTGTAAATTTAAAACAGATATAGCAAAATTCATACCAAAAAATGCAGGGCATCCATCAGCCTCTTCTTGACAATAGATTGGTAAAAAAAAAAATATATATTGATGGTTATAGTATGTAATCTCTCGTACAGGTATTAAAGAGAAATAAACATACATATTCAATAGGGTTAATCCAAGAAAGCTGAGCCTTAGAAAGAGGAATCTGTAAAAGATTTAACATGGTTTGTGTTCTGTAATGCTTTTGGCACAAAAATATAAGGGTCACTATGGCTCATGGAAATCAGGTAAAAGTAATAAAAAATAAAAAAAAGTTAAGGAAAGACTCATAAAGCAGACATTTGCAGCCAGAAACAGTACAATATTTATTTAACATCGTATAGATATTCTGAATAAATCAGAAGTTTGTACATCTCTATTTACAATGAATTAAAATATGTTTACTCTGATAGGTATTTACATTGTCAACAGCAACTAAAATTCACATTTCAACAACAGTGAACAGCATTTACCAGGCTCCAGTAAGACAATTATAAACATGTCCAACATGCACCGATAATGTCTAGATGTCTTCTGCTCCAAACAGAAATTACAAAAATACACTGGTCCCAAGAGGAAGGATTTAATGCCAGAAAATCCAAACCACATCGACCAGGATCTAGCTTATAATTTTCACCTTTACAACCAGAGAAGCCTGCAAAAATAATGCAAGCCAAGGAAGGAGCACCATTCTATGTCCAGCACCTCGTCATATTAAATTCTTCATACCAGCATGCTAAAGGGAACAGGGCATCTATAAGATGATTGTGGTTACTGTGGTTTGGTTTGATAGTCACAATACAAATACTGATTAATAAATTATACATGATCTTGTTCCTATACAGTGCTTACGTCTTGGAGAGCATGAGGGAAAGGACACCTCAGTATTTGCTTGGGCCATTGCACATTTAAAAACAAAGATCATTATGGAAGTCCAACTAAATAGAACTGTGGATTGTTGGTGTAAATGCATAACCTCTTGAGTTATTGAAGGACCACTACAGGCACCCAGACCACTTCAGCTCAATGAAGTGGTCTTGGTGCCAGGTCCCTCTGTAAAAATAGCAGTTTCAGAGAATCTGCTATGTTTACATATGGGTTAATCCAGCCTCTAGTGGCTGTCTCATTGACAGCCGCTAGAGGTGTCCGCGCCAACTTCCATAGGAAAAAGCATTGAGAATGCTTTCCTATGGACTGACAGAATGCGCACGGCTCTTGCCGCGCATGCGCATTCAGCTGATGACGTCCAAAGGAGGAGGAGAGTCCCCAGCGCAGAGGGAGCCCAGCGCTGGAGAAAAGTAAGTGTTTTACACCTTCCTCCAAATTCAGAACAGCGGGAGGGGAGCCATGAGGGTGGGGACACCCTCAGGGCACTATAGTGCCAGGAAAAAGTTTGTTTTACTGGCACTATAGTGGTCCTTTAAGGCTTTTTCTAAAGCTGGGATTAGAGCAATGCAACATTAACTCAGCTTTCAACACGCTCTCAAACAGACTTTAACAAGTAGGTTCTGCTTAGCTGTGGCCTGATCTTTAGTTTAATAAGCTTTGACTTCAACCCGTTACAGCTAAAGTTAGAACTATGACAAATTAAACTGAGCGGAATCACAGATCCATACTAGGTCAAAAGTATATTCACTGAATTGTTTCTGTGGAAAACTAATAACTTCGTCACTGCCCTCACAGTTTAAAATCACTGCCATTTCAGTGACGTCTTTAGCGGTTTTGTGAAGAGGTGCACCATGTAAAAGGCAACAACATGACACACAATGGGGAATTAACTATATTAGTCTACTGGATACAAAATTAGTCCAACTGTCTGATGTGTCCATGAATACGTTCATGCAATTCTGCTACAGTTTTAAACTTTGATTTTTAATATATCAGAGGTAAAACAAAACAACAAAATAGGTTTGGATGTCAGAATAGATGCTAGATATGCCATCATAAAGAAATATTTCTGTGGATCTGTGATTTTAGGAACAAATGTTTGCCTAACTCTTCAATACAAAAATATACAAATTACTTTGTTAATGACTAAAAATATGTTCAATCATAATGACAAACAGATAGCTAGCCTAAGATAAACCAAGCATCACAGGATTGAAATTAATGAGCACCTCAATTTTCTTCACAATAAAAAAATATTAATGTTTTGGTCCCTCACATAGACCTCTACTTTAAGATATTTTTGATGTGAATAAAATAGCACAGTGAGGTACCAATCCACTTAAAGAGACAATCCGGATTCCTGAAGCTTGCTGAAGTGTACGATGTGTGAAAAATGAATTTTTATACTTTTTTTTTTTTTTTTTTTTAAGCAAAAGTGCAGATTTTTTCCCTCTCAAATTAACCTGGTTAGTTCCCTCAGGTTGTCAAATGGACAACCTGTTTGGTTACTTCCTGGTTTGTTTAGCCCAGTGGGTCTAAAGTAAAGAGGCAGCAATTACCGAGAGAACCTGCCCTGCAAAGACTTCTCATTAAGATGCATTAGTAAGTCTGTGATTGGACAGCCACAGAAAGTCTGGGCTGGGTTAGAAGGGGAAGTCTTGCAAAGACAAGAGAAATGCAAGCTGTTTTTATAAATAGCATCAGAGAATTATGCATAATTAAGTACATGCATGTTTTGGGGTATATCTCCTAAACAGTATTTTTTATTTATGTACCTGGGCAGTGGAGTGTGCCTTAAGACCTGTATGTGCTTGGTTAATCTCTGAGTGTATACACAGAGGCAGATTTTGTTTATTTTTATAAATGCCAAAATTGCATACTCTGTGTGCTACCTTGTCAGTGCTAGAAATTCTGTTTCTGTAGGATTTGACACCTTCCACATATTCAGATTTTTAGATTGTATACTTCAAAGACTGGAAAATGAAATTATGTAGACCAGTGGCACAAGTAATTAGCCGTAAGGTGTCAAGCATATGGGAACATACATTTCAAATGTATTTTTCTAAATCATAAACTATTGTGCGAGTCAGCATGCTTTGCCGGTTCCCTCTGTTAGCTCTCACTTGGGTCCATTAAATACAACACACTCGTGCATTGACCTATATCTTGCTTGCTAAAGATCTTTCCAAAGGCTGAAACACGGGGGTGCTGTGTTTTAAGGACACAATAGATGGAATACTGCAGGGATGTATTAGAACATAACGTATATTGTCATCTAGTGTACAATGTATTGCAACTTCTAAAATAAAGAACAGATAAGAAAATAAAAGCTGCACAATTGCGTGCAAAATAGCGAAACATTATTTAATGTAGAATGAGAATGCACCAAACCTTAACTGCATTTCTTGGATTTACTGAACATTAAATCACCGGGAGGGTTAAAATACATTTTTTAAAACACTCTGTATAAAATGGGATTGTTGATTGGGACCATATATATATTTAAAATCCATTTTTCATGATACATTTTCCTGTACAAAACTTCTAAAGTAAAATGAAATGTGCTCTTTTTTATCTAACCTTCCTGAATACAGCACAAAACCAAGGTTAAATAGAAATGATTACTGCAAAATGATTATGAAGACAAATGAAAGTAGACAACTACACACAATCCTGTATTCAGAATTGTCTAAAACAAAGAAAATAATGATATATACACACAAACACACACAACACACATACTATAACCCTCCACACTACATTCAATAATCAGTCATAAAAAATGGATTTAATAATAAAGTATTTCAACATGAAAGAATGGTCAGCGTTTAACTTTTACTTAATTTTCCTGTAAAAAAAAACAACAACAAAAAAACGTCTGCACAAAAAAAAAAAGAAAAAAAAAAAGACATCCTATTGAAAGGACGATTATATTAGGTCATTTAGTCTAAATACATTCTAATAGGATGTTAACAGCTAAATATTTGTTAAAAACTGTGTCCAGCAGATGTACAGACCCCTCCCCCCAAAAAAAATACATCTGCAACTTTTTTTACGTTCAAATCAACCTAATTATCCCATGATGCTCTGGGCATGCTCATGCAACTACCCATAGAGGCATACATGCGCATGCCAAAATTGGCAGGTATGCAATGCAAATTATAAATAAAAAGAATTGAGAAGCACAGACTATAGCTAACTTTTTGTTAGCTATGATTTATCCAAAATATATAAATGTGACCGTTACACTTTTAAAGCCAAAATGAGATTCTAAACCTGGATTCCTGAGACATTTTTGCTTTGTGTATTTATGGGACTGTAGCATGTATATGTGTCAGAGTCCCATCTGAACAAATTATCCTTTCATTGATGCCCTTGTGCTAGCCAAAAAGTAAAACGCAAACGCATATGTAATCAATAATCTAGTTAAATTACTCATGGATAATGACCCATCTCCGAGCAAGTGCTCAAACCATCATGTATTATAAGCTGTCCCTTAAGATTGCCTGAAATGCATGATGGATCTAACACCTACTGACCATGACCCGTACTTGTAGTCACTGACCACGAAATGACCCAATTAATACATTTAGGTGTATTTTGTTGTTAACTAACCTTGAAGCTTCATGAATACAATGCATAGAGGAAACATAGCACTCAGTGACAGAGTCTTCAATACAGAAAGTATGTCTCTTCCCCAAGATGTACAAACAAATGTCTCTAAAATAAGACCATAAAAAGTGACCCTTATCATGATGGCCTACAGAGAACACGTGTACATACTACAATGTAGGCTAGAAACGGAAAACATTCCTTGTTTTCATTATACTGAGGTGTTAAGATGTGTGCTCCAAACAGGTTTTGATGCATCCTACAAAATGCACATGCATACAAATGAAATGCAACCATACAGTAACATTCCCATAACTATTTTTAATGACTCGACTGTAGTACCTTGGAATTTCCACTCTAACAAACTGTTTGATTGCAATATACTCATGAAAGATGACCTGAATAAGTAATGTGTTTAGTACCTGAATATTTTTCAAAACTCTGTCAAAAACTGAAAGTTTAAGGTCTGGAGCAGCAGTTATGCATACTGGGAAATAAATAGACATATGGCTACATATTATATTGCATACTAATACACAATAGAAAATATTTGGAACGGGGACTATGAACAAGCTTATATTAAGAGAATGCTGCTGATATAAAGTTATACAATATACCCACAGGGGGAGCCAGTGCACCCCATTACAAAACTTGTTTAGCCTGTAGCTGACCTGCTTAACACAGTAATACCAAAGCACATTATGGCCTTAATGTGATCAACAGGGTTATTAAAGTGAATCTGTTTTGAAATAATTAATTTACCTGAAATCATTCCCATATACATTGAATACACCACAATACACCACATATCACAAAGTTACAAGGTATGTATAATATAAAGATTTATTCACCGTTCCAGTGCTCCTTCGTGGGTGTTACTCTTCGTGAAAAACACTCACCTCCAGGCCATCCTCCAGCCTGCCTGTGCTCCTCCCGAAGTCTTCTTTGATTTGCCCTGCATGGGATGCTTCCCCAAGCACAGCAAATCTCGTCAGTGACGTCGGCACACTTGCTTTGTTGCCAGCGTGCTTGCGTCAGAACTGACACATTGGCTGACAGTATTTTTTTTCTCCTCCTAATTGAATTCAAAATAGCCAAATTGAAAAAAATATCCATATCAAATTTTTAGTTTGGGCATTTTGTCCTAACATTTTAAATTCACAGTGAATTAATTACTCAACAATTCACACTTTAATGAGTTACTTATTTGTGAATATAAATCATTGACGCAGATCCTGGCAGATGATGTGGCGGAAGTCAAAGAGGTTCACTACAATAAATATGGTAACACGTAACAGGGGGAAGGTTCAGCTAAGTGCATCTACCTTAGTCTTCTCCCCATCGCCACCGCAACACAAGTGGGCATGCCACTTTTGGAGGTCTTTATAAATCATACAACATAAACAGAGATGCTTTAATTGGCTTATCATATGCTCTAAATGGAGTGCACAGACCATATCCCATGTATTATACCCTACTATTATTATGTATTCAAAAGTTGATGAAATTTTTAATATGGAATTAACAGAACATGTGCAGGAATGTCCCCAAACTACAAATAGAATGTTAATTACAGCTCATCACATAGGTTGTATACTTGGTCTTTGTATTAAGATGCTGTATCTATTGATTCTTATTCAGCATATCATTCAATGGAAAGCATTTTTTATATTTACAACAAATAAAGCCCATTCTCTTGTGCTCTATTCCCAGTCAAGTTTATAGGACCAGCTCTATGCACATCTGTGTTTCATTGCATCCTCAGACAAAATGTCCACAATAGATAAAAACAATGACAAAAATATAATAAAAATAAAAATGTTGTCTTCAAAAAAAAAAAAAAAAATTAAAATAATTAATCCAAATACAATATTTCAATAGTGCAGACTCTTACAGCAATTTGACTTGTTACATCTGAATTTGTTGATTTATATATATATACACACACACACACACACACACATTATGATTGTCACCAAAATATTTTAAAAAACAAATAAAGCTATGTCTAAAAAAAATAAAGCTACAAACATCAAAAATATCAAATCTGAACAAATTATATATAAATACCTCTGAAATGGAATTTGTCAATTAATAAGCATCATAGCATTACTGGAATCTCTTACATTTTCTTAATATATTTATTTTTTTTTAAATTAAGAGGTACGGATTAAGTGTGAAAAAGTACACCAAAAACCAATTATTTACCAGAGAAGACACAATATAGAGATCTCTTTCCACTAAGATAAATACTGTGATTTTGGAAAACATCCCTTCGCCAGACTATTACAGCCAGGGACAAAATCCCAGATAGTTTATTCCATAGACTGTCTTGTTATATATGGAAGGTTGATCAAATGTTAGGGATATAATTTGGATCATTATCCATTTCTTACTATAAAACGGTTTTGGTAGATTTCATATGAGAAAATACCCAGCAAGGGACACTGCTCTGAATTAAAGATGATGACCTACTAACCACTGCCAGTTGGTCACACAACATAAGGTTGACAGGATCCTTCTGCTCAATTCCCTGTTTGTTCTCTCTCACTGTCCAGGCACAAGATCAAATTAAATATTCACTGGTTTACGTTCTGCCATGTCGAACATTTCCAGAATCAGGTAGTCTTCCATTGTTTGGCAAAAATGTACGCAAGGTTGCCTCATCACCCTTTATTCTATCAACGGTCTGCGGGATATTGCATTAAAAATTTGATGAAGTGAAAATGGACAGGTGGTTTACTCTGTCCACTAAATCAACTAGAAGTTAGGTTTTTTTTCATTTCACTGTATATTTTTTGGCATTTACCAGATGCTTACACTCACACAGACAATTTAATAGAATAGATATGCTGGAAGTCCTATTAATTACAATGTTTATCACTCCTTTAAAGACAAGCAGACTTCCATTACAACATTTCACACAAAGTGAAAAACATGACAATAGGAGACATGCACCTCTAGCAAGGGATCATGCACCATAAACACAGAGCGTAAATCAACACTAACAAGGGGTGGAGATGGAGAGCGATATGGTACCTAGTCTAATTATAGAAGGCCCCGAGCCATACTTTGGGAGTTGTTTATAAATAACACGTGGGGTAAAGCGTTCTAAAAGTGCAAGAAACGAGACATTCTATTGGTTTCCATGGGGATTGCTTTACTTTAGAAACGGTCCAGAGTTGCACTTTGCAATGAAACTTATTTCCAGACACACTATAACATATGTCTCTAACAGGGATGCTCAAGTGGCATTTAATGGTTTTATTCCTGAGCCCCTGATTTGCAAAATGTTACCTTGGGACTCACCAACCCAAAAACTACTCACATAACTGATACTAATGATGTATCTACCAGAAGCCCCGTCACACTGTTTAACCTGTGCTAATGAAATATCTACCAGACCATAGGTAAAGGGATGGCTAACCTCAATATTTTTATATTACTGTAAACTACATTTCCCATGATTTAAAGGCTGGCAGCGTATCCTACAAATTGAATATCCCAAACAACAGCAGGGCTAAAGGTATCCATCAAAGCCACCAGCTGATAATGTATTTAAACTTTAGAGACATTCCAACCACATAACCACAGACAGCCTTTGTCAATTTTGCAGAAATGAAAGTTAATGATGATTGGCCATGGCCAATTGCTGCTTACCTCATACAAATATTTAGGACCAATAATGAGGAAGTCACATTTTTTTTTAATAGCACATGTTAAGCAAAAGGTGTCTATTTTTTCTTTGCTTTTTGAAGATAATTTATAAAACCTTGGGGGGAGGGTGGGAGTTGGGACTGCTCCTACAGATGTAGGGGCAATACAGCTTGGAGAATTAATTTAAAACATTAACATCCCATACTATGGTCTTATTAATAATTGATAACCACTATTTTTGTCAGTTCTGACATACCGGTTTTTAAAACGAGACATGGAATATAAATCCACCAACCGACTATCAGAGACAAGCAGTGATGTTTCCAAGTATAAGTTACAGTTCCTTTAAATTAACCATTATTTACTGAATTTTTAACAGATGACATCCAGTGATTGGCAACTACTGTGAGCATGTATCTTTCTAGACTAAATGATCATAAAAATAAAACTTTAGCAGACTATCAATACACCTTCACAATAGTGTCCTAGGGTAACAGACTGCAATATGCACCTGACAATTAAAGCAACCAGGGCTATACATGCAATAATTCTGTCAATATTTTGTTTTTAATGAAAGAGCTATAAAGGTATTACCTTTCTATTCAGTACTGTGTAGCATAGCAGCTGTCCATTGACTTTATTTATGTATTTCTATATGAGGAATCAGGTACATCAAGACTGATGCTATAACATTGCTTATTGAGGGGAGCTAAATAAATGGATTCTCAAGAGTGATTGAAGCATTATAGTAACAGTGGATAGACCTGTTCAAACAAATGAGCCAGACAGTATTGGTGATAAGCCAGTCTTAAAACCATATCTACCCGAGCACAAATGGGTTTTCTGAAATGTATCAGGTATTAAAGTCTTGTGATCAAGACCAGACGTGAACAAGGTGAAGCAAACTTTGGCACCGTAGCTTTTGTGCATCACGTCTCTCGGCATGTTCTGCTAACCACTGCAGGCCAAATATAATCCATCTACAACAATGGCAGTGCCACAGCTTCCCTACGCCTGGTTGTGTATCCCTGAGCAGTGAGGTAGAACCATCTGGGGCTTCATATGGGACTTGCTTATATAGGAAATAAATATAATTTAAATGTTCATTTAAAAATATTAACCCAAACCACTTACATAATAATGGTGGAACATATGGCATGTAGAGAAAAAAAAAGTAACATGGAAACTACTCCACTCCGTAAGCTCAGCTGAATCAACAGTAACCTTGGGATGGAGTCAATGCCTGCCCCAGTTGTCTACAATAAAATAAATTGTTCTCTTTATGTGCAGTATACTAGATTTACATGACCATCTTTGTAAAACCAACTTGCTATACAGAGCTTTCAAAACCAAAACTTCAGCTTTTTTTGTTGTTTAAATACATTTTGGAACCTTTTAGAATTCACTGGTTTTTCATTTATCATTATGTTCTGAAAGTTGGGCACTGAACATTCTGATTTGAAAGCAACACTTATCTCTTGTGCAGATATGGATCTGTTCTAACGGAGGTTATAATAAGGAAAGATAAATTCCTGTACAGCAACTACACAGCATTAGGAATATTTAAGGGTATTCAGCAGAAGGTGACGTTATCCAGCTATCACAGATGATATACATTTCTATACTACAAAATTCACAGGGCAGCTTATCTTGATAATAGGTCAGGCTCACACAAAACTTGATTGCCAATACAAACAATATAAGTTGGTATATTGGCTCTGCCCTCTGGACAGATACCCTGTAAACATCTAGGAGACACTGCCACAAGCAGAATAGGTCGACATGAGCCCATACAAATATATAAAGGAACAAAAAAATTTAAACCAAACATAATGAGGTTAATTTCAACTGTGGTCACTGAATAGCCTTATACATTCACACCTGGATAAGTGGCATTCAGATTATCTTCTGAATTGCGGGACAAAGAAGCAATGAACTTCAGGCCCACGACAATCTTGTTTAAAATAAAAAAAAAACAACAGGTCATTTTGGAAACGTTATCACAACATATAAAATTAATAGTAATCACAAAGGCAGTGTGGTCTAGAGGGTCACCAAGAAAACAGCTTCGATTCACACAACAGCAATTCTTACAGGCTGCTGAACACTCCCTAAAGTGTTCTCTGGCCTGCACAAATGGATATACAAACCTATGCATGGGTCACTGGGGAGAAGGACAGAAGGGGAGCAGCTGAGAAGGCTGTATGACTGATTTCCAGCAAGTAAATGCAGCCTACAAGTCCCTCTCTTTACCCAACAAGTTATTTGACATCCAACAGCAAGCATAGGCAAGGAGAAATTGTGATTATCATACAGAAGTCAGTTTGGATTATCTTGAATGTGCGGATTGTCTTCTGAAATCTTGAATCCATGGGCCACACTAACCCAAAATCCATAGGGCATGAAGGGAAGACACGTAGCATGGGTTATAGAAATGTCTTCTTAAGATATTTGCAATCTATAATTTACAGTTATTTTTAACTTCTAAAATGATGACTTCCAGTGAAAGATGTTGTTGCTGATGGACCCCTGGTTGGAAAGGAACATACATAAATTGTCCAAAAGGTGCAGCAGACTGATAAATGTAACCATAGTCACTTAAAAATGCATTGCACAAAGTGATCGGTCAATTGACCTTTTAAATATCTCCTTTGAACTTCTGGTACAGAAAAGATGCTTTGCATTATTTGTTGGAACCCCCAACTCATTACATTATCTTCATTTTAACTGAAATACTTTCCGCTAGAATTTATGATTGGACCAACTGAACGTTCATTCATTGCACTTGACCCAAATTAATAAGGAATTTAAAAAAAAATTGAATTTTTTTTTTAAAGAAATAATGAATAAACGCTTTTTACGATAGTTCTATTCACGGGCACGGAGAGTAGGGAAGGGGATTTGTATTGCTCTTGCACATAGAATTTTTCAAGAGTAAAAAGGGGCAAGTCATGAGTATTTTAGGCTGCTGTATGAGGATTATTTGTTTCTGTGCAAATATGCACTGTTTACGGTCAATGAGAAACAAAATTAAACCTGGGAAATTAACTGCATATTGAAACTTGGTGATCGGGATTGTTTGGTCAAAGGTGCACCAGGCGACAAGAGGTCTTTATTCTCTCCTGAATGGCCTAGCCGGTCCTCTTGAAGGCTTATAGTTGAAAACCGGTTTGTGTTGCAGACAGAGAGGTTTGTAACACCTTCTACCCCACCACTGCCACCAGCTTGACTGCCATTTACATAGTCAAATGATTTTGTGGATGAAGTGCTGGAGGTTCTTATCAGACTCAAGCTAGTGGCTTTTGCCACCACATGGCCAGCTGGGAGGCTTAAGTGCTTCTTCATTGGTGATAACTCTATCCCTTCAAGTGTGGAGTCAGCAGCTGTAGGGACGGGTGGTTTTCTAGGCATTACATCTCGAAGACTTTCACTAGTCTTTGATGGTGTTGGTGGTTCTCTTTCCTTGACAGAACGCACACTACCTCCTTTCCTTGAGCCACTCCTCTGAGTTGCTGAAGTCTGTTTGGCTCCTACAGGCTGGCTGCTAACTGATGCCCCAGATGAAAAACCCTCATCAGCATCATTCAAGTGTATGGAGTCCTCTCCGCCAATTGTGCCATCAGGCCCTTAAAACAAAACAACAAAAAAATACATACAATAAATCATGTGATATTTTAAGATGCACACACTCCCACTAGTGAACATTTTAAATTATGGAAAATTAAGCACATTAAGCCCACAGTTAAAACTATTTTACACATTCTGTACCTGGTAACTTGTGTTAACACTATACATACTACGGGTAATTCATATCTTTCCATCGGTTTTACAATGGATCATGCTTTTCATTTAAGAAAACATTAGGTTTTGCATGCATCAGCTTGTGCCAGTTGTTCATACCTTAATAAGAAACTTAAATGACATGGGGTCTATTAAACAATGGTTGGCACTTAATTTAGTTAATTTAAGTCACTGGTAGAAACCTCTCAGGTAGTGACCCTAACCCAAGGCAAGCCAATTGTCCAGGTTTAGTCACTATGCTCACAGGAACAGAAGTGGGAAATGATCCTAGACTGGTAACATGTCGAGTATTGTGTTGGGAACCAGTGCCCTAGGGGAAATTATTTTACCTCAGTAGTGTCTCATGTTAAATGGGGTCCTATAGATTTAAACAAACTTTTTTGTAAGCAATTTTTGTAAGTTAATACATTTTACAGGCCTTTGAGCATAACTCACCAAGTGCTTTGTGGCTTACGTCTTTTACAGTATTACAAACAAACAGCAGATTAGTACAATTCATTCATCATTTACTACTATGCGTTTGTATTATAAATAGAAGATAGAAGGCAGCAAAGGATCGCTTCCCATGAAATCAGGAAAGGTACAAACAAAGTGGGTGCAAAGTGGCTAGGGTGCAAGTTTTCAGCTCAGTCATGCCAAGTGCAAAGGAACTGTAGTACAGATGTGGGATAAGCATCTAGAAAATATGGAAAGTTGAAACATTTTCTATGTAGTTTCATCAAGCAATTATTCAGTATCCTGTAGTCCGGAACAGACAGAGGCAACCCAACTGGGCACATGGGCTACTTGAGGATTGCAGAGATAGCAGCCCTACAACAGATAGGTAACAGCAGTTTGCCCATGCAGGGTGTAGAACAACATTGGAATTTTCACCACATCATATTCTAACCCAAAATATTTTCAATAGCGTGAATCACATGCAAGTTTTTATTTTAGGCTTTGGGTAAGTAAAGATAAAAATTAAGTGAAGATGGGAAACGGTATAATTTGCAGAGAAGACTGGGATGCACTCATGGATCTAGACATTACTTACCATTTCAGCATTTCATTTCCCACATACCTTCTAAGAGGATCCTAGGACCTAGTTACTCAGACTCTGATAGGCAATGGGTAGTACTATTTATACTGATTTTAGAATCTTTTCCCACAACTTAATAATTGTGCTTTCAATGGATGATACATAATTACAATTATTACAGCTTGATATTTCTCACTATAAAGCGTAGCGTCAATATTAGTCATATGGTAAGGCAACATATGAAAAGTTAAAAACCAATGGAATTGGAAAAATCTGAATGAACGTAGAGTATATAGAAGTATATAGATCTGTCACTCTAGATGTGGTTTCAACAAACAATACTAAACCCAGAGTTCCCAGGTCAAATGCAGAAAGATTTCAGATACGAGCAATTATACCCCACAATTTTTGTTTGTTTGCTTATTTTTAAAACGATTAAAGGAAAAACCTATCTACAGAAAAACTCACCTTAGGTAAAAATATTTCAACATACACATAAGACCACGGGACACAGAAATGTAAAATTAAGCAAAAAGCAGATATTCTCCAACTGGGACAAGAGCCACTAACTACCCTACAATATATATACATGGATTGAGGAAATGCAAGGCTGAGGTCCTGTGAACATATACTGAGGTATCAAGTGGACATATCATACATTTGAGAAGTGCCTGGAACAAACTTGAGTCTCTTTGCATACTGGAGAATATGTATTCAAACAAAATTAAAGGAACACTATAGGGCCAAGAACACAAACATGTATTCCTGACCCTATAGTGTTAAAACCACCATTTAGGTGGCTTGCTCTACCATAGCCCCCTTAGAAAAAGTTAAAAGGTACCTTTTTTCCAGCAGCGCGTGGGTCCACCAGCGCTGGTCCCGCTCCCGATCCGCTTCTTTAGCTGACATCAGAATTTATCTCAGCAAATCTAATGCTGGGGCCAAATGCAGGCCTGTTCAATCAGCATCTCCTCATAGAGATGCACTGAATCAATGCATCCCTATGAGGAAAGTTCAACATCTCCATGCAAAGTGTGAAGACGCTGAACGGGAGTCCTGCACAGTAAGCACGTCTAGTAGCCATCTGAGAAGTGGCCACTGGAGGTGTCCCTAGGCAGCAATGTAAACACTGCCTTTTCTCTGAAAAGACAGTATTTACATTGAAAATCTTGCAGGGACTAACTACACTCAACAGAACAACTACAATAAGCTGCAGCTGTTCTGGTGACTATAGTGTCCCTTTAAATTCAAAATCCAGCCAGTCATTTAAAGAAATTAGAAATGTAACAAAATAAAAATGAATGCTGTAGTTTAGTGTCATGCTGTGTTGAGCTACTACTCTATTCATAGTGTAAACAGAACAGCACTACTAGTCTAAATGGTATAATGGTAGTGTTTGTTCTTTCAGCAAAAAAAGTTAAAAGAGACACATTTTTGAAAATGTAGATATTTAACTTGCCCTTTTACAGAAACGGATTTGAAATTGAGAGATTACTTTTATGTCAATTCTCCTGTATTCCAAATAAACATGACCGGGCATTTGAATGATGGAAAAACAATAAACAAAACATAAACTTAAACTATTTGTATATAAAAAAAAAAAGAAAATCAGAATAGCAATCCGTTTTAACAACTTTCCTTCCAGGTGGAACAGTCAATACCAAATTATTTGCTATTAAACAGCTCCTCTTACTCTGTAAAGGGTCAATGGTCAAGTAAATTAAAAACAGCAAACCTGCTGACACTTGATCAGTTTCTTGGTATCAAGTCTCTAAGCGAGTTGTATAAAATTGATAAACAGGCTTAGTTTTGAATATTTAATCACTTTAATGGCACTACACACAGCCAAAATTGATATCATACAAGCAGCCAGATATCTGGTTTCACTGTATTCATCAACCATTAGGCAGAAGATGGGTTTGGCAGCCTGAACTATATGACAGTGGATGCCACTGGTGAAACTAATGGATACAACCCAAAGAGAAATAAGTCACAGTGAGATGGCTTGAAGAAGACACGATTACTCAGCAGTTGAATCCAGTACAGCAAAAATACCAACCCTTCTCCAGTGCTTTCGGACCATGCACATGCAATATGGCAGAATAGGCATGCCAATGTAATGCCAGGATATGTTGCATGTAAGACTTGGGAACTCTCATCTCAAAAAGTATTTTGCATGTGGATTTTTGCATTGGCCCCTGAATAGACACAACTGCAATGTCACAAACCATGCATTTATCCATGGTTAAGATGGATACGATACAGACTGCTTTTATTGATTATCATTTTCACTTTGACGGAGTTAGGAATGTGAATATATGGTCTTCCAATATGAATGTAATTATGAGTAGGACATAAATTGCTCATACTAAATGAGTAGGAAATAAATTGCTCATACTAAACAAAATATTATTGGTATGGAATTGGTATGTTAGAAAGATGTGTGTAATCTTTGTCTTAACCATACCTCCTGAAAGACAACGTTTTGATAAAGTTATTTGTATGAAATGCGCAGACTGAGTTTGTTTTGCAAACCTATTTCTCACAAACAGCACTGCTATGAGGATTTTATGCCCTTTTTGCTTTACAATTTTAATTCCCTAAGGGGGTCATAAAAAAGGAAAAATCAAGAATTTTAAGTATTAACTTAATACTTCCAGTAGGGACTGGGTTGTGGGAGGTCAGGGGTCTCTTATTTAGTGTTTAACTTCTTGAAGATGGTTTAACACTGAATGCAGAGACAATGCCAGGGGACTCCTGGCACTATAAGCAAATCAATGAGATGAAACGGCTATACTGCCTACAGAGTGCCTTTAAATATTAGTTACTATTATGTATCACTGCATATTCACATCCCTGACATTGTTTTTGTAAATAACTTTTATTCAGGTTTGGAGATGTTTCTGCATGTAGAAAAATGTGTAACTAGAAAAAAAAAAAAAAAGTTTAAAAAATGCGATGGAGAAAAAAACCAAAAAAAACAACAAATAGTTGATTTGGTGGCAAAATTATATTCATGTAAAAGTAAATTGTGATGGGAGTGAGCGCAGTACTTATCTTTTTGTATCACACAGCTTTGTTATAATGTTGCCGCCCATCCCATGTGTTCCCTATTAAGGGTTAATAAGTATATATGGGTGTATATAAAAAATACCCCTCTCTGTCTCATTAGAGATATCCTTGCCAGAAGCTTAAGGAAGCAAGGTGAAGGGTCAGTGTAGTCTGCTTAGGGGGGTCTGCCTTGACATTGGCAGGCGGGCATTCCCTCCAATGGCTATTGGAGTAACTAAATGACCTCCATTTATTTAAATATACACAGGGATTAAGGAGAGAGCGCAGGTAACTTTTTTTCTTTGGTTTTTTACTATATATATTGGGGCTGATGTGTACTGTGGTCGTTGCTGCCGCCCAGGAGTGATGGGAGTGAACGCAGGACTTATCTTTTTGTAAAAGTAAATTGTGACAGAATATCACAATCCAAAACACAAGACATTTCTTTGACATAACATACCCTGAAATGAGAGTTCACCAAGAGAAGTCCTGTCCTTTTTGGGCTAAGTTGCTGCAAGAAACATTCTATTGCCATGCGAAGCTGATCTCTTGACTGCAAGGAGGTGCAGGTATTAGAGGCTAGCTGGAGATAGCAAGCAAAACATTAATACCTGACCTGGAGCCAACGATAAAGGAAGCGCATGGACAAAGAGACCCTAACCCACTGTCTTTGGAGATAAGGAAGTCTTTGTCTGGAGCCTGGATTTTCCTTAATCCACTCTACCACTGGTTTCTTACTCCACTTCTCTGGCCTACCCTTAGTGGCAGCTTCTGGAGAGTTGGTCTCAGGGGTCCTGTACACAAGAACATCCCCCTCGCGATTAGTGCTTAGGTCTGTGGCGATACGCAAAGTCGGGGAGCCAGGGTTCGAGTCGCTTGTGAGATCAAAACCATCTGGGATTCAACACAGGGAAGATTTTAGTTTGTTTCTGAAAGTCTTTTCATCGGTCGTATTCCTCTTTGTTTGGCCAAATTTAAAATCAGGATAAAAATTTAAAAAAAATAAAAAATAAATGAAAAGTAAAAAATAAAAATAAAAAGACTTGCTAGGCGTATTTAGAGTTCTTAAATTTTTTGGGAGGACATAAAAATCGCTGAAAAGGGCCGTTCACATATATTTAAATAACAAAGCAAATTAAAAAAAAGATGCGCATGAAAAATGCTGCAACATGACATTCAAACGTAAAGGTACAAGTCACTGGAGCCTGGGGAGAAGGTTACATTAAGTATGGATGTTTTGGTGGGATTATAGCATTAAAACAACTGGACTTTATACATCCAAATACTAGTGTTTTCTTATTTTGAATTGTTGTAGATACCCTATGGGTCACAAAGATAAATTAAATCCAGGGTTATTATTATTTATACATAAACGATTTAAAGCAATGCCACAATACTCATCTGGCCTTTATAATAAAATGGTCCAGGCAGTTCTATATGAATACTAAAATGCTGCGGTAGTTGGAACACAGTGTGTAGAACATACACAACAAAGAAATGCAATTTTAAATAAATTCAATTAAAACAAAAACTTAAAAAGCAACAAAGCGAAAAGAGACAACAACTCTGCGAATTTCATGTGACATTATTGTAACATGATAACAGGTACATTTCTTTCATATGTTTTAACATAAAAAAAACCATGAAAATTACATTATAGATGATGGACTATGCTACGTTTAGTGGCAGTTGAAAATGTGAAACTTAGCACGCTTGCCACAGTGCTCCACACAGTTACGGTATATAGGTTAAGTAAAGCAATCAGTAGGCACATTCACTAGATGCTATGGTAATTGCTTTACATTTTATCTTATTCCCAATTTTGCCTGTTTATACATAACCCCACTAAGGGAACATTAACACAGTGATTTAGTCTAAATAAAGCAACTAGTATGCAGTGGAATTCAAAAGTTTAATCAGCGACATAAGAGGTGGATAGAAAACTCCAAAACAAGCCACTACTTGTCTGATTGTGAAAGCTGCTGGAACTCATGTGTAATTTAAATTCCAACAACATTTATTTGGATACAGTAACAATCAAAAGTTTGAGTACCCTCCCCTGGTAAAAGAGGTCTCTGTTGTGGCTTAATGCAGAGAGCATGCCATTCTGTCAGGAATGAGACTAGTTGAACAGTCATTCAAAAAAAATAACGATCAGAAATACAACTGCATTGTGAGGGTAGACGAGGTGTTACACAAACACACACATGTTACAGGGTAATCCCTGCTGAACATGTACCAAAAGCAGTTTCACTTTGTACACACACCAAGCTGTAATTTAAAAACCAAACACTTAATCGCAGTCTACGATTATAAGTCGCCAACTAGAGATAAAACAAGTGAGAATAATGACAAGCTTGTCCTTAGATCTTTTGTTGATGCATTTTAAAAAGTTTTAATCCCTAATTTGTGTGCTTTTGTTTTAAGTAACAGTCTGGTCTAGCCTGTGTGTGTACAGGGCAAATTACTTTTTTTTTTTTTTCTACATTTTGTTTGACCATTAGAGGTGTTTGCCATCATAAATTATTTTTCCTACTATATTGCCAGGACATGACTCATAACCATCAAAACCCTCGAAGTCTGACTTGGTTTGCTTATTTAACAATCATTGGGGGGGGAAGTTTTGAGCCAAATTCTTGTGTCCCTTAGCAGTACATTCAAAAGAAGTAATGTGAACACAGAGAGGCTGAAACACCAAATCTAGGACAAAGATGTTTGCATGATATTAGGGACTATATTGTTACAGGTAACAACTGCATTTTATTCTGCTTGTGGCTGAAAAATGGCAGTAACTAGTGTAGATTGTTAATTAAAGAGAAAATTACAATGACCATGGCATTTTACGGCAATTTAACATTGAAATGAAAGAGATTAGGAGACCTAATGCCAATTATTAAAGGACCACTCTAGGCACCCAGACCACTTCAGCTTAATGAAGTGGTCTGGGTGCCAAGTCACTCTAGGATTAACCCTTTTTTTTAATAAACATAGCAGTTTCAGAGAAACTGCTATGTTTATAAATGGGTTAATCCAGCCTCTAAAGGCTGTCTCATTGACAGCCTCTAAAGCCTCTAGTGGCTGTCTCATTGACAGCCTCTAAAGCCTCTAGTGGCTGTCTCATTGACAGCCGCTAGAGGCGTTTGCGTGCTTCTCATTGTGAAAAATCACAGTGAGAAGACGCAAGCGTCCATAGGAAAGCATTATGAATGCTTTCCTATGAGACTGGCTGAATGCGCGCGCAGCTCCTGCCGCGCACGCGCATTCAGCCGAAGAGGAGGATCGGAGGCGGAGAGCTCCCCGCCCGGGGCTGGAAAAAATGTAAGTTTAACCTTTCCTTGCCATCCAGTGGGACGAGTATGTTTTCCTGGCACTATAGTGGTCCTTTAATAGAATTCATAGGTTACAGGTTCCAAAGTTTCCACTATATTTTGCAGATCATTGTTCCACTGATAAGTTGCTATTTACCACATTAAGAATATGCTTCCTCAACACTTGCATAGTGTTATGATCAAAATCAACTGATAGTATTGTTTAGTGGGCTCAATTTTGTTTCCATAGGACCATAGAAACACCAGGCAAAAGCCCATCACAAACAGGTATCCCATAGAATACGTATGTTACACAAAAAGATTTATTATATTATTGGCTTTGTTGCTGGCATTTCAATTTATAAATCCTAGGATAAAGTTAATAATCTCATGACTGCTTTAACATTACATGGGATCTCAAACCGATTCCCACATTTTTTTTATTGGTTACCTTCTCTCCTCCATCGGTGTCTACGTATAGAAGCTGTGGTGATAGCCGTTCTAGAGATTCGAGGGACTGTTGGGGTCACCTCGACCTTGAGGACTTTCTGCCCTTGATTGGAGGTGTCTGGAGCATCAAATGGCAGTGAATTTTTCATCGCATTTGCAACCTAAACAATGAAACATAAGGTCTAATAAGAAACAAAAGTAACAGTCTTAAAGCTACAAAACAATAAACAAAACAAATAAATTAATGGAACACTCCAAGCACAATAACTACTACAGCGCCCTACCACGTGTAAGTAGTCAAACAGTGTGTCTTCTTACTTGAGGTGCACGAGGCACTGTCTCTTTAGAGACAGATGCTCCTGCATCGAACATTCATTAACTCTCCTAATCTAAGCCATGCAGGACAGCTGAGAGTGTTAGCCAATTGCTCTCAGTCAATAAGCTAAACTCTGTACCACCAGGCTTAGATCAACATGGAGAGCTTCCGGCTCTTACACAGGCAATGAGCGGCATCCGACACCCTCCAGGTAAGAAGTCAAACCGTTAGCAAATGGTTTTACTACTTACACTGGGCAAGAGTCGGGGTACTGCTGGCACCATAATCACTACAAGGCACTGTAGGATTTATGATGCTTGAAGTGTTCCTTTAAAACAGAGTGATAACAGAAATACATTATTTTAAGTAACACACTATGCAGCAATGTCAACGATTTTCAATAAAATAAAAAGGAAGCGTCTCACACAAAGGATATTTTTACAATTGAACCACTTTATGTATCAAACTTCTCTTTCAACTAACTGTCAGGATTAGGCAAGCACATACGGTATTTTTATATAGTGGAGATTTTGTGTAATTTTAGCACTTACCAGTAGGGGCTGTGAATAAAGCTCAAGCTGGGCACGGTATATGATGTCATCAAGGACCTCTTGCCCAAGATCCCACTCCCCATTGTATCTGTAAAGAGAAATAATTTTTTGTTTTTTGTTTTAAAGTATAGCTTAGTCAAGTACTTTTGCTATCAAGCGAAGTATACCTAAAAAGGTAGCCAGGATCTGACTTTTATCGGCCTTGAGTGCAAAAGATATAAACAAAAGAGTACAGTTGTGCTGCAGTCAGATACAAAGGACTACCCAGTGTAGGACTGTATACCATTGAGACGTAGCTCAGAATGCTGTTCATTTCACCAATACAGTAGTAGTGGTTGTGGAAAAGGGAATGGGGGAGTCTACTAATAATTTTCCCACTATGTCCTGAATGTTAGAGCTGCATATTTTAGTAAGTTATTTGAAAAAATAAAAAAATACTTGAAATTGTTTATATATATATATATATATATATATATATATATTTTTTTTTTTTTTTAATTTGGCATTTTCATGTTAGAAACTGCTACGTTTTCAGCCAAAAACCTTGCATTTTGGTTCCAGCCCAATAGCATATAGAATAAAAGATGTCCAGTCACACTAAATTTTAACATGTAAGTATTCAGAACAGTGGATTTGGGTATATAATACAAAAGGTTTGACCAGCTAGAAGGTATTATATGGTTATGTGAGAGCAAACACAGGTATTAAACGTTCCAGCATGACACATGCCATACAACACCAACTCTCAAAGGAAATACACTACCAGTCATACCTTTTTCAGGAAACTCGTTAGAACATTACCAAGACTTTCTCTCCTTATATGATAGTAGTTCTTTGTAAAGCTCGGGAATAGTTCTAGATACATATGAAGTATTTATTTCAACGTCATAACACATGGTGAGGCATTTCCCTAAAAGGACATATTCCTCTCACTGATGTTAACAGCAAACTAAGTGTTGCCTTTTTCTTGCGAGGAGAATAGTTTTATGAACTTAAACGTAACTCACATAGCATGATAGACTCCTGTTAACAACTGCACCATGAAGCCAGGATCCAGCACCACCCGACCACACAAATCCTTCCAGCGCTTCTCATGTTGCCTTGGAAAGCCACTCACACAAAGCCTGGAAAAACAAAAAGTAAACCAATGCAAATAATTAATGACAGGGAAACCAAAAATGAGATGTACACATTTTTACAGGTTCCAAGTGCATAATCTAACCGACTCCAGCAGCATTACCCAACTCTCCAGTCTAATTAGATGTATTCCCAATTTATCACATATTACTCAAGACTTTCTTCTCACCTTGATCCCATTCGGCAAAGTGACTGGTAGGATGATGGTGGCATGTAGACAATAGCAGAGTTGTAACACAACATGAGAAAACTCAGTACTTCAAACCTGCAATAAGAGAATAATATGTTTCCTTTCATTGTATTTAATCTAGATCAGTGTTGTCCATCTGGAGAGGTAAGATTATCACATACAGTGAACAGAAAAAGATATATATACACACTATTATGAAGGAAAATAGTACCCACTAATAAACAATTAAGCGGTACGTGAAGAACTAGGTGTGACCCAGGTGTACCTCACAAACACCCAATATACGTATAGTAACGAAAAAAAAAAAAGTGGGAAAAACACCCAGAGAATACAATAAAATTGAATACAACCTGGATGGATGAACCAGGATAATAAGTATTAATATAAATCTGTAATGATAATAAACATTACATAGCGTAATATAGTAAAGGTGAATTAAGTGATATGCTCTATAAGAATTGCACTCACAAACACAGGTGTAAAAAAGCTTCTCACCCCACCAGGGGTTAAAACGACAGGGAAGGTTGGTCAAATTCAATCCTCTTTAATTCCTTAAATGGATGAAGGAAAGAGAGCCATACATGGTGAAGTACATAAAAATCACAGGAAAATTTATTAAGATTGCACTTACAAGCAGGCAGACAATGTGATGATCCAACGTGTTTCGTCCTATGTAGGGACTTCCTCAGGGGTTCCTGAGGAAGTCCCTACATAGGACAAAACGCGTTGGATTATATATTTTGGACTGCCAATGGAATTTTATTTTGTCTGTTTTTAATTTGTTCGTTTTTATCATTTCCTTCTGGTTTTGTGAAGACTACTTTACAATCCCTGAGGAAGTCCCTACATAGGACGAAACGCGTTGGATTATAGATTTTGGACTGCCAATGGACTTTTATTCTGTGTTTTTAATTTGTTCGTTTTTATCACTTCCTGCTGGTTTTGCTGGTTTTTGCTTTGCTGCATTTTGGTTCCACATTGTGTGGATACATGCCCAGATTATCTGCCTGCTTATAAGTGCAATCTTAATAAATTTTCCTGTGATTTTTATGTACTTTACCATGTATGGGTCTCTTTCCTTCATCCATTTAAGGAATTAAAGAGGATTGAATTTAACCAACCTTCCCTATCGTTTTAACCCCTGGTGGGGTGAGAAGCCGTTTTACATCTTTGTTTGTGAGTGCAATTCTTATAGAGCATATCACATAATTTACCTTTACTATATTACGCTATGTAATGTTTATTATCATTACAGAATTATATTAATACTTATTATTATTCTGGTTCATCCTCCCAGGTTGTATTAAATTTTATTGTTTTCTCTGGGTGTTTTTCCCACTTTTTTTTCGTTACTGTAAAATTATCACATAGCCTATTAAATTAGTAATACAATATAAAAGAACATATGATGTTTCTACACAGGTACAGGGTGATACAAATCTAGTTTAGCAACTCAACACTATATATAAACTTCTTCTGGTCTTCCACACCATTAGCAATTGCAATCCTTTTTTTTTTTTTTTTTTTAAATACATTGTTTAAATAAATCATGTAAATTACTTGCACAGCCAGTTCATTAAAATATAAATATGATCACCTTTGAAGTATCTGTATTTGCTGCAAAACACCAGACTTTGCAGAACCAGCAGTGAGATGTGGCTAGGCCAGTAACTGATTTATAATTCACACTTTATTTTCAATTTTGAGGTTTTGTCTCATAATTTACAACCCAGCATGAGTTTCTGGAAGCTGTAGTTAAATGGTAATGGTTTATTTTGGAAGGATAAGCACAGAAAAGGTGAGCTACAACTCACAGATAGTATCCCTTAAAGCGGTATTATTGGAGTCGTTTGATTACAGGAGATTTGTAACTGAAGAATGGGTCATAAAGCTAATGCTATGAGCCTAATTTGTGCCACTGCCAAAAAGAAGGATTACACTAGACAATCTCAAGCATCAATAACGAATGGTTGGTGTAACGGATGGCCCTGAAGGGGTCAAAACAGGTCATTGCTGCGAACTTCATTTGGTTATTATCGGAACAAAGGCAGATGTTCTTACATCCAAGATATTGAGTACATCATCCTCCTATGTGCACTCAATTTGCTATGGCATCTGTAGGAGAAGGCGTTCATATGGTATGGGGCACTGGGAAAGAAGACAGTGGAAATAAAATGATAAAACAAATAGGTATATCAGATTTACAGGGATGGATCTCTCCTCCAATCTTTTGCCTTAGCACTTTTTCTGGGTCACACAAACCCGCTGATATGTGGAAACGTTATACAGACGGTACCGTAGCCAAAGACATCCCATTGCTACACTGAAAAGAGTTACTGGGCAATGTCAGTACAAAGAAAGTATGTTAAGAATTTTGTATTTTAGAGTTTCATCCAACTGCACTGCCCGGTAAATGAATACATTTCGATTATAGTCAACAGTATTCCTCTACACTGATCTCTAGTTCTCTCTACCTGCTCCATACTTTAAAGAGTTTTAGATTGTTTTAGTTGCCATCAAGGTGACAGAGCTATTTTTGATGTGCTATTACAGGTTATTTTTGTGAGTGCACAAAATTAAAAAAATAAAAAAAAACTAAAAAAAAAAAACCTTAGGAATACTAAAGCAAACTTCAAATGAACATTAAATATTATACTTTACTATCAAAATTGTATATACAGGACACACAGTAGAATAATATTATTATTAAAAAAAATACTTTAATTCAGGGTTTATTGATATTTAACAAAGAGAAGTCACAAAAGAGAAAGCAGGATTAAGTCAATAGGAAACAATCTTCCACACATAGAATGATATCAAAGTCAAAAATGAAATGCCTGTACACATTATAATAAATAAATTACATGTCCGTAGCTTATGATTTCCCCAAAAATGGGGAAGAGGGAAAGGTAGCACCCTCAATAATATAAAAAGAACTAAAGGTGAAGAAAAGAAAAAAGGGAGGGGAAATAAGGCATTGAGAGCCATCTTGACCAAAAGGACCTCCACACCCTTCTCCCGCATCTAACTTTAAGGGGCATTAAGTCTTTTAAAATACGCTAGAATATGAGATCTTCTGGAAGGTAGTGTATGTACTGTTCACTGTCACATCTAACTTCTCCATATTTGGGTGTTACCAGGTAAGGCATTATAGTAAAACTGAATTCAGTTGCACAGATTCTGAAATGTAATCAGGAAGATAGAATGGGTGATGTGGCTTCAGTAAGCAAGATATTTTGTAAATCCTGTTTAAAAGTAGAATGTAAATCATGGGAGGCAGACGGCACAGGTTCTCAGTTCTAGGAAAGGTTGGATAAGGTTATTGTAAAGTGGACAAATGCTTGTACAACTTGTAAGCCCAACTATATTTTTATGAGACGGTAAAGAGCTTATGAGTAAGTGCGCTTAGCACACAAAACATCAAGCAACTTTGTTGCTATTTTACCCTTTTTAGTACTACTAACTTTATTGAAATGTAGATTAATAAAAAGTAGTGCATGGGTATGAAATATCTGTTTCTGTGAGTTGCTGTTTAGTGCTGCCACAAAAAAAACAGCTCCTTGAGTGCCTGAAAGTACTTTTGTTTTGTTACAAGTTTAGGAGTAGAATGCAATTCGTGAGAAGCAAACAGCATGGGTTATCACTACGAGAGTCTGGATTTGGTTGTTTTGTGTTGTGGACAACTGCATGTATAGCTTGACTTTTTTCCCCAAAGATTTTCCAAACATCCACATTAAGTGATCTACAAACATTAGATACCAACAGTGCCTGGGCTCCTAGGTTCTGTCAAGGTATGCAAACTGTTATAACTGTTGTATTATTGATTAGACAGACAGATTGATGTAGACTCAACATTTAGAGGAGTTTTAAGCACTTTGGTTTAAAGAGCAGTTATTTTTAGGCAATGAGCCTATCTTAATCTTCCATTACGCAAATAAGGGTTGCCAACGTCTTACCCACCTGTTCTGTGCAGTGAATGTTTCTCTCTGCGGGTGAAGGTCACTGTAAACCACTCTGATAAGATCGTGCTGGCTCAGAGCGCCTTCAGTCAACGCCATAGATCCTAATGATGAGGGCTGAATACAAACATACAAAACAATGTTTGTCAGGAAGAAAGCACAGGAGAAAAACATAACAAAAGGTGTGATGCTATGCAACATGCAGGAGAGCAATGAATGGATTAGATAACTAACTAAATAACTTATTTTTTCCTGCATTGTTGAATGCATACAAGCCTGGATTTAAAACTTAAGCAACAAAGCTTTTCAGGGCATTCAGTCAGTGTTATTGCTGGGCAGAGACTGTAAAATGTACTCTCATCTGGATATTAAAACTGGGAAACAAGCATCACTTTAAAATATCAAATATCCCAGTTAAAGATTTACCATGTTTAATCAACACAAGCTCAGGGTAATTTAAGCACGACTTGCTATGAATCCAGACACCAAGCAGCTCAGCACTTTGCGGTCTACTTGGGATGACGTTGAAACCTAAGCCAGGATGATCTGTTGGAATATGCATAGTGCTCCCACTGACATCTTCTATACCCTGAACATACTTTATATGCTTTCATTTTCTATACCCTGAATAACCTACAGATTTACAGCAAACAATGATTATGCATAGTGCTCCCACGGACAATGATATGGGGCTGGGAATAATTGAGACACCCCTTTCTCTTTCTAGACCCTGAAATATATTTACAATTTAACATGGTCTGCATCCATTTTCCCAGCCAAATCACATTAATAAGTTGAAAACGCCAATCTAGGTATAGAAAATGTTATTGCGCGAATCATAAAAGACATTAATTCTTCACAGCAAAGATAGACTTGCATCCATTCAGCTAAGCTTCTTACCTCGTGATATATTGAGGGCTTGGATAATGAGGGTATGGTGAAAGATAGAACCTTATTGTTCCCGTCTTTGTCAGCAATTTCCTGTGAGGTGAAGAGATCACTATGTTATTAGAAGCACATTTTATAGAACCATAAGTCTGTGACATATTATCTATAAACACGTTTATTTAAGTTCTATCTCATTCCCCTGAAACAGGGTAGGTGCCAGTTATTTGGTAGTTTAATTTTCCAATTGCTGAGTTATAAAAGCGAATTTCATTTTAACAGAATCCATACATATGTACTTAAGCGTCCAAAGGCATTGTTCTTTCTCTGAATGCTATAATTTTTTTTCAGCAATTTTTATTGGAATAATTTTTTATGTTTATATTATACTTAGCAATTTTACATCCACCAAGCCAGGATGATCTAATTTTAGGGAATTTCCTTATTTATAAAATAATGCCTTTAGTACTGATCCATTAACCTCCCACCTGTGCAGCAATTGTGAGACTTAAACCAGTAGATGTAGTACTGTGAAAGTGCTGACTGGACAATAGGGGCAATATTGGGAGTGAGGGACACCTACTTAATTAATGAGGTGCTTGATGATATGGACTGAGTTGAATTACTTTATTATGTTCGTTAGGCTGATTTAACGGTATAAACTATAAGGTGGGTTGTATAGAGGAACTTTTTGTGCTTTGCATTTTGTTCTTGTTTTTTTCCATTAAATGTATCATCCTTTCATCAGCTAAGAGTTCTCTCACGTCATATTGTTACAGCTACTGTTTTACATGTCATTATCAACTCACAGGTGTGAAGTGAATGGACTAATTCCATGATTTACAAGTCAAGATTTTGTCTAATCCATGATAATGTTTTGTTTACAGAAATCAAGTCTAACTATTATAGGACTGGAAGGATGTGTGATGGTTGAAGAGGAGCGGAATTTATTTTTAGCATATATTCCATAATGAACACAAATGCACAAGGATCACAAATCTCATTAGTATATCTAAATAAAGAGTACCAGATATACCAGTTTGTGACAGATGCCCAGCATCAATCACAGTATGATTGGCAGCAGCAGGGAAAGCATGGTAGAGCTGCAGCATAAGAGGGACATCTCCTTTTAATGCTACAATCATCCAGTAGATGGCGTTCAGAAACTGCTCTCTACTGTGTTGGCTAGGAAACCCTCTGCTGATGTCAGCAGTGACATTAGCAGAGGAAATCCCTCTTGGTTAGGCTTAAAGGTAGGGTTTCATTTAAGTGCAGGGTGTACAGGGTTACCAACAGCTAAAGGTTATAAAATGCCTAGGTTTCCCTGCAGATCTTTAAACTTCGTGTGGTCCTGTCCTCTCATATGTAAATTTTATATACTGAATTTCAAACCATTTCCTTTACAAGCACTTTTGCACTATTTGTCGTCACCTTTCCAGAATCCTGCACACAAATTATTTAACATCCCTGTGACGATAGGAAGAAATAAAACCATTTTGCACGTTTGGATAAACTCAATTCCCGTTACTAACCACTTAAAAAAAAAAAAAAAAAAAGTTAGCATGTGTTAAGTAAGAACTGGTTAAAGGTAGTACATGCTCAAAAGAGAAATGCACAGGAAAGTTCTTCAAAACATGGAAGCCATATAAAATATTCCTTAACATATGGTCAGAGCAAAAACGTAAAGCTTCCTGTAATTGTTATGATGAAAGCATCCTATTTTCATTATGAGAACATAGTAATGGTTGCTGATGTAGGACAAACCTATTGCTATTGTATTTAAACTCCTACCCATAGTAATTTTCCACATCTTAATCTCAACACAAGGAATTTTGCACACAAAAAAAGCATTTCTCTCTTTGTTTAGTCTGGGTTTGGGTTGTTTTATTTCAACCATGCACTACTTTGATTCTTTTCAATTTTTTAATTTTTTTTGCAATTACAGAAAAATATAGAACATTGAATAGAAGCACTACTTTTATTCTATAGTCACTATCAATATTTCCTAAAAATTGTACACACTTTATTTTGTCATTGTGCAGTCGTGCTAAGTGACTCTTTATGACATTTGTTATTTTGCGGTTACGTGCAATGTTTACTTTCGTATGTATTTATGGGTAACTACAAGTATCATATCCACTACAATTGGCTGTAGTAGTATTGATGTGAAGAGTAGCCTGTCATTGTCCCCTGGTAATTGGGCAAATCTCGGCAGGGTCCAGATCTGCTCTAAAGCAGAATTAACAACATTTGGCTTTTGCAAAGCTGCAGAAAATAGATGTTGACTGTAACAAACTGCGTATCAAACTCACCCTTAACAGACTTCAGTAAAAAGCTCCCGTATTGCATTTACCAAGTTTACTGAAACCACACATCCACTGGTTCGGTATTTGTATTTCACTGACCATCCCCCTGGCTCATTAACTTCAGATGAAACACTTAATTCAAGTGCTCTCTCTGGATGGTCGCCATTCGTATAACCGAACGCACGTGCTCTAGTGAATGGCGGCCATTTCGTCTCTCGAACGCAGACAGTGGAGTTCGGTCGTGAATGGAACTGTTTTTGGATGCTTTTGCCTTGCGAATCCCAGTAAAACCATATCATTGCCTGCTCTGTTTCCAGACACACCTTGAGAATGCTCTTCGGGGAAAAACACTCCTTGAAAAGCAGGAACATTTGCAGTTATTTGTGGATGTCAATAGCTCTGCTTCTATCTCTGTTTATATCATACTCTTTGGTAGTAGGAATAAACTTTGCGCGCTGTGTAAAATGTAAAACTGAAAGAGGTGTTTGAGTTCAGAAAATTATATTATTATGATCACTCACACATCTATCCACTAGGGTAGTAACTGTCCTTGGTGCTGTTTAATGCACCACAAGATTATGATGTCGTAGATACCCATGAGTTACACCATGCTGTAAACATCAGCCAATATATCAGTGAAGTAGGTCTTACCAAACATATTTTGAAAGAGAAGAAATACCAGAAAGAGCAAATGCAAGCAAAGGGGCAAAACAGATGAAAACCAAGTCTATATTGCAGTTCACCTTGGGCACTTTCCGAGCAGAATAAAGTTATAAATTACACCAGAAGTGTAAGTAGCGGGGAATTTAAAGGTTATTTGCTTAAATGTTAATTTACAAGCTGACCTGAAAATGTCTTTCACTTTGAAAGCTCACAAAGAAATATGATAAAAAATTATTGAAAAAATGAAATTACAGCCGAGAGAAGAAACACAGTTAAAAAAAGAACAATAGCCACAGTTCTATTGTGGGTATGGCAACCTTAAAATCACTCTATAGTGTTCAATGCCTGAAAAACCATGTAAGCAAGTTTATGACTAAGATCACATACAGAATAAGCTGCTGTGAAATAATTCTTACCAGGTTGTAAATGCCCAAGAGGAGAGCTTCAATGCATCCATTGCTTTGTCGGTCACGGCTGGCAGTGAGACGCAGGTAAACGCAAATAAACTCTGGTAGGAACTGCATTGTAAATCTCTTTAGTCGTACCTCGGAGCTGCGGTACAGCTCAAAGAGCTGATGACAGATTGGCTCCAGAAGCTGCAATAAGAAAATGTATTCAATGCAAGGCTATCATAATCTGCGCAACAAGTGTGGGTAGAGGGAATATGTTTAAGAGTTGCAAAGTTCTAATAGACTGCTGCAGTTCACAGAGTGCGCAAATAATAGATTTATTGGTTTTGTTCTTTGTTTTCGGTACACAAAGGTGAACATTAATTATGATATTGATTTCCAAACACACTGCTGCTCAGTTAAAATAAATGATCATTACAATGTAAAAGCTTAAAGGAGCTGCAAGCTTTACTAAAGACACATACATGGATAAGAAAAAATTATAAGCGTCTAAATTCGGTGCTAGATTACAAATGTATTCAGCGCAAAAAGCTCCTTTTAGAAGATGAATGGCCATAATACACAGATAAAACTGGCATTTCCTACAGCAAAGTAAGAAATAATAAAAAACAAAACAAAAAAAATCTCTTTAACCCCTTAAGGACCGACCTGTTTTGGCCATGTTGTACGTTAAGGACCAGAGCTGTTTTAACACTTTTGTGGTGTTTGTGTTTAGCTGTAATTTTCCTCTCTTTCATTTACTGTTCCCATACAAATTGTATATTATTTTTTTCAGGACAAGAAGGGCTTTCTTTACATACCATTATTTGTATCACGTCATATAATTTACTTTAAAAAAAATAAAAAAAAATGTTTTTTTAATTTTACTTGAAAAATACTTTATTAATCTACAAAAGCTAAAGAAAACAAAACTGCTAAATAGATTTTAAAATGTTGTCCTGAGTTTAAAAACACCCAGTGTTTACATGCTTTTTTGCAAGTTATAGGGCTTTAAGTACAAGTAGGACATTGCCGTTTCAAAATATATATATATATATTTTTTAAAATGTATCAATAGTAACATTGTTGTCTGTCAAATCTCTGAATCACCCCTCACATGTACATTTTTTTTTTAAAGTAGACAACCCAGGGTATTCAATATGGGGTATGTCCAGTCTTTGTTTAATAGCCACTTGGTCACAAACACTGGCAAAAGTTAGCATGTATATTTGTTTGTGTTAAAAATGCAAAATACTTATGAACGCTAACTTTGGCCAGTGTTTGTGACTAAGTGGCTACTAAAAAAGACTGAACATACTCCATTTGCAATACCTTGGGTTGTCTTCTTTTGCAAATGGTATACCATCATGTGGGTAATTCTCATTCCTGGGCTATCATGCGCTCTCAAAGGCAACATAACCAATCTGGCAAATTTCAATGCAAAATAATTCGACCTTTATATTTGACCTTGTAACTTTCAAAAACATTATAAAACCTGTACATGGAGGGTACTGTTATACTTGGGAGACTTCGCTGAATACAAAAATTAAGGTTGCAAAACAGTAAAACAGCCATAGGTACTATATAATAACCCTCCCGAATATTAATTTTTGAGATACATAGCATGCTAAAAATCCTTAAAAAGCAAGATCAGTTTTTGTATAGAAGCCTTTATAATACTAACACAGAGCATATATTTGTGCCTGGGATAGAGTAGATGCAAAGCCGCAGGCAATGTATATTTTCACTGTATTCAATCCATGCGAGTTATAGATGCAATAGTCAGATTACGCCATAATGAGCTGTCTGTACATAATCAGCCGCTTGATCCCTGGCTTCATTGATAAAATATCAAAGCTGGTTCAGTCTCTGCTAATGAAAATCTACATGACCTTCCCAAAAGCATGTTCCGCAGCTGGTTATCAGAGGAATGGCTGTTTAGAACACATAACCTAGATCATTCTTATCAGCTGTGATACACCTGTCATTTCAAATTATTTTCAGTATTAGAACATCACACACTGAAATGGATACTAAAACAGGTTTTTAAAATGACCGTATTTCAATTTTTATTTTTTTTATTTCTGAAGAAAATGTTGCTCGCCTGATGTGTAAAAATAAATAAATTTTAAAAAATACGATAAAGAATGGAGTTAGTTATGACCTACCATCATCTAGTACATGACAGAAGGAAGGCTCATCTCATCTTTATTTCAAAGACAAGCACAACCTTTAAAAGCACTATAACTCATACCACTATCTCAGTGGTAATATTTTTATTTATTTTTATTAATATTTTTATACATTACTCTGTATATTTTATATTATTTTTAAGGGTTCTTTTCCTCTACCATAGTCAGACCTGCGCATAAGACAAAGTAGTCACACACCTTCCTTTGTTTGTTTGCGTGTGTACGTTATATTTTACTATACATTTTAAAACAAAAACCAAGTAAGATTGCCATGTGAAAGAGAAAGTTCTGCTTTTCTTTGTATCTACTCATTTTAGGAAGAAAGCTGGTCTTTAATTTTATCTGGATGATCTCTTTAATTTATCTGATTGAAAAAAAAAAGTAACTTTTTTAAACTCAGTTTCAGAATCTTCATTTCTTTTGATATGACCTCAAAGAAGAACAGAGATGTAGAAAATGTTGCTAAAATAGAAAGAGAAAATGCAAGACTAAAGGGACAGGATAAACCTGACCCTGAAGTCAAGATAGGACTAGGTGGGTAATGTGGGGTTAACCCAAAATATTGAAAAATTAGAAAGACAAATCTCTTTTTGAGAGAAAGGGACCCAAGTCAAACACCATGGGTATCAACTCTCAGAAAAAGTTAAGATTACCCACATGAGAGATATGCAACTCAATGTAGTCGGTAACAAAACAAAAAATGGTATAATCTTTATTAATAATTTTACACAGTGAAGAAAAAAAAACAAGTAATAGAAAATGTGATAGTGAAAAGAGATGTTAAAAAAGGAGAAACCTGGGTAAGTCTGCCTAGCCTGTTTCGTCTTGTATGTTAATAGGTAGCCTAAACATACATGCATAAATATACTAATCCCTGATCTGCCCGAATCAAAGGATAAATAGTATCCACGGGAACAGCTGTTTACTATTACAAAGGAATTCCAAATGGAAGGCTAAAATGTAACCATTAAGACGCGATTATAGCGGTCTAAGGAGATCAGGAGGATATAGCAAGGCGTTTGTATAAGATATTAGAGGTTATTAGAACGGGTAAGAATTGGGTAGAGGTAAATAATTCAGTAGAGATAGAGAAGGACTATATATATATATATATATATATATATAAAAATATAAATAATACAGTGAACTGATATGTTTAGTGACGTGATTATAAGGAGCAGGAGGGTAGGAATATGAAATAGTTCCTTACCCCCACCTTCATAATAAACACAGTCTCTCTTAAAAAAGTGTTTAATCTGGAGTAACTCTTTGGTTGTGATTAAAAGGAACCGGAATGTAGGAGTATATAATGGTTCCCTACACCCACCTCAATAATCAAACAAAGCTCCAGTTGCAATACCTAGAAATAAAGAGAGAAAAAATACACAAAAACCCTCAATTTTAAATGGGTAAAAAATTAGAGGTAAAAAGAGAGGTATCTGGTAGTAATACAAGTAGTAGCTAACCTTGATAGATACTGCATCCAAAAGACATCCAAACCAGGGTGAAAGCATACCACATAAAGTCCCTATAATGATACCTGTCTTTAAGCCTTATTAGATAATCATTCCTCTCACAATAAGGCATCTAAGGAAGGCAATATCTCATGGGATGTCCACCACTGAATATGAATGCCTTATGACCCTGATGGGATTGTGGGAAGAGAATAATGGGACTAACCCTCCCAACCATACCGACCTTAAACCTCGCTTTACTCCCTTATCTAGGAAATATTGTAACATAGATTTATTTTTGGAAACAATGAAAAGGGAAACTGAAAAAATAAACATGAAGACTTTGGAATTTTATCCAAAGAACAATTTATCCAAAAAAGAACAGCAAGCTCTCATTTCCCTTAAAAATGATAATAACCTACTTATAAAACCAGCGGATAAGGGAGGCAATATTGTAATTCTGAATTTGAACAATTACGTTGAGATGGTTAGGAGGGTCCTGGAGGATGAAGAAACATATAGGATCTTAAAATCAGACCCCACAAATGACTTCCTCCAGAAATAGAAAGGAATTTTGGACAGGGGCCACAGTGAAGGGTTGCGGTCGGGTGACGAGTATGAATTTATTCTTAATAGTCACCCAAGGATAGCAACCTTTTACTGCTTGCCCAAAGTCCATAAAAGCCTGACTCTACCCCCGGGGTGTCAGGCGTGGATAACCGAGCGCAAAACCGGAGCATTTACTTCGGTCAAATTTTGAGACGTTTCGTTGAAGGACCATACGAGTTCTAGCCCTACTCTCTAATTTAAAAGTGCCAGCATCTGCCACCATTTGCAGTCTAGACGTGGAGGCAGTCTACTATTCCATGCCGCACGTGAAGGGTATTCAACACATTGGATCTTACCTGGAAAAGAGGGGAGAACAATATCTTCCACATACCAAGTTCTCTCTAGAGCTCCTCGATTACATCCTTACACACTATTATTTTATATTCAAAAACAAGTTCTACCACCAGGTGAGAGGTACTGCGATATAGACAGCTTGTGCCCCATCATACGCTAATCTCCACCTGGGCTGGTGGGAGGAAAGTATTGTACATTCAGAAGTTATTTTAAAATACCTTCCTTCTATTTTTTTGTGGCGTCGGTACATAGACGACATCCTTATTTTGTGGCAGGGTAACCTCAAGGAGTTCAATGACTTCGTAAAACTAATTAAAGTAAACAAAGACATTTCTAGGTTTAAGAGTGAATTTGGGGGCTCTAGTCTCAACTTTTTTAGATATAACAATATTAATTACAGACCAGAATACTATTCACACTACTCTCTTCAAAAAAAAAAAAACCCATCAGCCTCTAACAACCTCCTTAGATGGGACAGCTTCCACCCACGATCCCTGAGGCAAGATATCCCCGTGGGACAATACCTCAGGGTAAAACGCAATTGCAGCACTATTGAGGAGTTTAACATCAAAGCAAAGTATTTGAAACATCAGTTTAAGGAAAAAGAGTACCCCAACAAATGTTTGAAACGTGCCTATAGGAGGCCGATCGAAATGGTCTGTTAAAAGAGACTGAACCAAAAGTGGTACCCAAAGATTCCAGGTAGATCATTAGGCTTATAGACAGATATGATGCGGGACGGTAGAGTCTGAAAAAAATCACTCCAACATTTTTGACCAATACTCACGAGGGATGAACATCTTAAAGAAGTACTTGCCCCTAATGTGACCATAACAGCATGCCGGGGGAAAAACCTCTGTGATATGTTGGCCCCAAATCACCTCCAACAGAAACAACCATCCTTAACAACATGGCTTCCTAAACCTTTGGTCGGCAGCTTCGGGTGTGAAAGGTGTGTCACCTTTAAATTCATAAGAAGGGACTCTAAAAGCGTATCAGATAGTAAAAGAAGAAATGTGTTTTAGATCACATCCTTCTTTAACTGTAATACGGCAGGTATAGTATATCTACTTACCTGCTAATCTAATCTCAAATACGTTGGAAAACCTTTTCGCCGCTTTAAACAACGGATAAAAGAACATATCAGGTCCTCTAAAAATCCAGTGGACATTCCCATTTCAAGACATCTCAGAGAATGCCATGCAGGTGACCCCAAGGGCTTACGCTTCTGTGAGTTGGCGTTGGCAAGGCGACTATGACAAATTCCTAAGGCAACGGGAATGTTTTTGGATGTATAGACTCAAAAAAGTCCAAATGGTTTCTCCTTTTCCCCCTTCCTACAATCACTTAGTATCCCTTTTATTGATCAATATTCCTTTAAACTATCTGACTATGTAAACTATCTAACTATTTTGACAAATTGTTTTACTCAATTAAAATGGTAATTTCATGATTAATACTTCAGGACACTGTTAATAATGATGTGGCAGTACTTTTTCTGAGTGCAATTTATATATACTCCGATATACTCTTTGCAGATTGAATTAAAGTAAGGGCCATCAAGTGACAAATTCATCTAATTATCCTAAAAATTTGGTAACTCTGGAGGACTATAAACATGTTTTGAGCTCTCTTTGGAGACTTTTTTGGTTTTTTTTACTCTAATGGCCGTCTTGAGAGTGATTAAAGGCATATTACTGTGATAAGTTTTGAGGAATATCTCTTGAATAGTTCATAGCAATTTGCTAGGATCTTAATGTTACAGCTACTCAGAGATCAAATAGAATAAAATAATATCTTATCCCATGTTATGCCTTTTTTTAAGCAAACATTACTTAACTAAGATTTCTACGGCCTTGGACTGCAGACCGGCTACAATATTCATTGTACATATCATTTATGAACAGGCAGATGCATTTTCCCCCCACCTGTATTTGACAGGGAAGCCGTTTTCATTAAGTATGGGGGTGTGCCTGTATATTCAGGTCTATGACCTGGCTCCACCCCCTCTGACATCTCAGCATTTGATTGGCCGTGTGACGACATTGGAGCCAAGGTATAATAACAGCCTGCGAGCTCATTCTGATTTGATACTCTTTACAAAGGCACAGAATAGCAACGAAACGTGTGTTGAGTAAGACGCGAACATTAGTCAATTTACTATTATTTTAACAAGGGTCTCCTAGGTAGTCTACAAATATGCTCAGCACAGGCTATACTTCTTAGAGCTGCCTCGAAGCAGCTAGATAGTTTGTGGGTAAGATAGAAGCTGTGGGGGGTTTAATATTATTTTTTGGCTATCTCCACAATGGTAGGGACTTACTTAGATGCCTTGATATGAGAGGAATGCCTATCTAATAAGGATTAAAGACAGGTATCATAATAGGGACTTTGTTTATTTTTTTTATATATTGTTATTTTTCACAAGTTGCCTTTTTATATACTGTTGTACATACAATAAACATTAATATTCCAAAAGCAGTAGATATTACATTTCTTACAGACTAACTAGGTCCATGAAAATAATAAGTGAATTCCAAAGCATAGTAAGCATCTTTCGGATTATACAAACGAATGTAATCCATGAACCTTATCATACAGCATCTGACCTATGTTTCCCAACTAGTAACCTACAAACACACCTCAGACACACCTGTCATATTACAGGCAGAGGGGGGTGGTGGTGGCAGAGGGTTATATCTAGTGACCATAAATTGTGCTAAATTAATGCAAGGGTAGCCACTCCTCTTCGTATTTGTCAGTGGACATTCTGTCTGGTAGGAACCCTTTTTCCATTCTGTACTGGAAATTAACCTGCAAGCTTATTCCGGACCAACTCAGGGAGCCTATTTTCCTCCAGCTTCTGGCAATTATTAATTTTGTGGCCATAAAAACAAGAATCAAAAGGGATTTTGCACTATTATTGTCATGAGGGAAGCCAATATGGAATAGGAACATGTGTGCTGTTAGTTTTAATTCCCTGTTAGAGGTATAGTTTACCAATCTAGAGAGAGTCTCTTTTGTTGTGGACAGCTCCTCACACTGCCACCAAATATGAGAAAATGTACCCAAAAGCTTTGCCACAGTGCCAGTAATCAGTAGATACGTGGGGACCCATTCGAGAAAGACGAGATGGAACCAAGTACCAGCGGTAAGTATGTTTATAATATACTTCTAGTATGGTTACACTGTGTAGGATTCTTTTTATAAAAAGAAAGGCCTGTAACCAATCTTCGTAGGCACTAACGAAATTGAGTTCTTGTTCCCATTTTATCATTGCTGGGGCTTTATCTTTATGTTGCTGGGTATTGATAAATCTGGCGAACCTAGAGAATTTTTTATTACTTAAGTGCCGAGCCAGAAAGTTATCTATCGGAGTTGGCCTAGCCAAGGCTTTACCAGTGAAAAAAGATTTAATTCTCAGGTAATTAAATATCTCCCTATGAGGAAGGTTAAATTTAGACTGTAATAGAGTGAACAGGGAAATTGTCTCTCCATCTGTTAATTCTGAAAGGAAAGGACTTTCAAACCGTTATTATGCCATTCTTGGATAATTAAGTCTTCCAAATAATATTTTAAACATTCAATAGGAGCATGGAGGGACAACTTCTCTGTACCAAATTTTTTCTTCAAATTTATAACTGTAGAGATCAGATTTTGGATAATCGGATTATCTGAATTTGAATTTTTAACAAACACGCTATCACAGTTTATAAGATTAAATGGTTCTATGTTATTTAATCCAACTCTCTCTAAGACAAGCCAGGTTGGTCTAAGAGAGAAGAAATCGGTGGTGGCAAAATTAACCATTGTACTTATTTAGTAAAAACCAAAGAAAAGAAAAAAAGTTACCTGCGCTCTCTCCTTAATCCCTATGTATCTTTAGACAAATGGAGGTCATTTAGTTGCTCCAATGGCCATTGGAGGGAATGCCCGCCTGCCAACGTCAAGGCAGACCCCCCCTAAGCGGTCCTAACACTGATCCTTCAGCCTGCTTTGCCAGAAGCTCAAGGAAGCAGGCTGAAGGGTCAGTGTTAGGGCCCGCTTAGGGGGGGTCTGCCTTGACGTTGGCAGGCGGGCATTCCCTCCAATGGCCATTAGAGCAACTAAATGACCTCCATTTGTCTAAATATACATAGGGATTAAGGAGAGAGCGCAGGTAACTTTTTCTTTTCTTTGGTTTTTACTATATATTGGGGCTGATGTGTACTGTAGTCATTGCTGCCGGCCCAGTAGTGATGGGAGTGAGCGCAGGACTTCTCTTTTTGCATTGTACTAATTTGATATAGTCTTTGAACATCTGGAAAGGACACCCCACCCTTCTTCTTTGGCCTCTCTAGTATTTTTGAGGGCTATTCTGGGACGTCTATCCTGCCATCTATAATCAGAATTGTCTCTGGAAACCTCGAATCATCTGGGAGTCCACCATCAGCGGGATATTCCTGAACAAATATAGAAGTCTAGATAATGCATAGGAGTTAATTACCTCAATTCTGCCTAGCCATGAAAGCTCAGTGCCTTTCCAAATTTTGAGGTTTCCCTTATATTGCATAGCCAGTGCAGAGAAACTAAGTCTATTGACTAATGTAAGATCTAAAGATAACCCAACACCTAGGTAATTCATGCCTCCCAATCTAAGTTGAATTTTTCCTTAATGAGATCCAATCTGGGTCCATTTAGGCCCATTGTTAAGATTTGTGGGGGGTTTTTGTAGTGAATTTAAAGCCAGAAGGTTTGCCAAATTCTTCTACTAATAAGAACAATTTTGGCAAAGAGCCCTCAGGGTCCGTAAGAGTCAGGAGCACAGCATCAGCGTAGCGTGCGGTTTTTATCTCTAGTTTATTTACCGTTTTTGATATCTGAGTTCATTCTAATAGCTGTTGCCAGAGGTTCAACTGAAAGTACACATAAAAGTGAGGCTAAAGGACAGCCCTGCCGGTTCCCGTTCCGGATTGGAAACCAGTCCGACTATAACATAAAACCTGAAACTCTGGCTTGTGGGTCCCCATATAAAGCCATCGTGTAATCTCTAAATGTGCCTCCCATTCCGAAGGAGTCCAAAACTTGTTCCAGGTATGACCACCCAACTGGGTCAAAGGCCTTCTCAGCATCAAGGGCAATCAAAGCAAAAGGGGACCTTTGCTGGCCCGCATAGTGGATAACATTGAGAATCTTTCTAATGCTGTCTGATGTATTCCTCCCACTCACGAACCCAGATTGATAGAGATGAACAATGCCCGGTAAGACCCCCATGATAATAGGGACTTTATGTGGTATGCTTTCACCCTGGTTCAGATGTCTTTTGGACACAGTATCCATCTAGGTTAGCTACTACTTGTATTACTCCTAGATACCTCTCTTTTTTTTTTTTTTTTTTTAATGTTGTGCAAGTTATAACAAATAAGCTTGCTCAGCCATGATGGCACGAACAAGCATCGTTAAGTCAACATGTCAAGACAATAGCATGGCTGTGAGATAACCGCACAGGATTTTTATGTTTTAAGAAACTAAAACTTCAAACAATAATACTGCACAGACGTGAGAACAAATTATTCTGTCACACGCTAGTTTCTGTATGCAGCGAGTCTATGGATTACATAATAGAGAGGCAAGTAGACCATTTAGTGGGTACGTCGTTGAAGTCTCAAGTAGTGTTCGGTCACATGTATACCAGACATAGTAAAATTAAAGGAAGATTAAACTAAATAAAACAATAGCATACCAAGTGAGTGTCAGCTGCCATGCAGTGTAAGTGGCTTGTCGAGACAATAGCATGGCTGGGAGATAGCCACACGTGGCTCCAGTATTATGAAAATGAAATGAAATAAGAAGCGCGTAACTGTGAGTAGAATCCTGTTTAAACAGGAGGGTGACCCTTGTATCATGTGTAAGTGGGAGAGGTAGTCAGTGTGCTTAATGAAGATTATACTATTTTTTTTTTTGTTTCCGACTACATTGAGTTTCAGATCTCTCATGTGGGTAATCTTTTTTGAGAGTAGATACCCACAGTTTTTGACTTCGGTCCCTTTCTCTCAAAAAGAGATTCGTCTTTGTAATTTTTTAACATAGAAAATATTTCTTCTTAAGAAAATCAATAAAAAGTGGATTTAATGCAAACAATTGAAGAATATTAAAGAGTAGGATTTATTCTATTTGATGCATTACTGTTTAATGAATTAACTTGTGAAAGGTAGGCTAAATAAGTCTGATTGAAAATATCCAGAACGTAACTTTAAAATTGGAAAGATAGCCAACAAAACAAAGGTTTTAGAATAACTTTGTTGTGGGAGACAAAATGAAAATAGTTATCAGCGCTCACCTCGTTATTAGGGTCTTGGATGACTTTATACAGCGCAGACACAAGGGTTTTCTTTCGATGAAGAGTTGCAGCATAAGCAGGGAGTTGTGTTTCAGGTAATACCTGTTGTAAACAACACGTGGGGAGAATAAAATCAAAAAAATTTCTATCCGTTTTTATGGAATAAACTTAATATGTAAGAAACACAACTATAATGGACATGGTTGTGTGGACAATTGCATCTACACATTGTGTTAGTAGACTTGATAGAAAATGCATTAGTGTTTCATTAATGTAAAACATATGATTCTTCTCTTCAGCCTATGGCATAGCCCACGGCCGTCTTTAATGCGGGGCAAACGAGGCAGCTGCCCCGGGCCCAGAGTAGCTGCCCAGTGGGCCCTGCGATTTGCGCAGCCCCCCATGGACCTGGTGGTGCGGTTGCACAGAGCTGCACCGTCCCGCACACTAGAGAGGCCCCCCAGGTGGCCCATACACTTAGGGCCACCCGGTGAGCATGTGCAGCATGGGCCCGGTCCGGCGTTGTGGCGCTTGAACAGAGACACCGGACCAGTTCCTTTTCGGCAGCCGGCTGGGAGAAGTGAGTTCCGCACGTCACTTCCTCCCACCGGAGATCAGAGCCGCGCGGGAGGAGGAGAGTTCCAGAAGATAACTCCCAACTGCCTCAGCCTGCCAGTGGACCCCAGAAAAAGGTAAGAACCTGGAAGGTGGCTAAATGTAGCATGTGTGTCAGTGTGTGTATTTAAGTATGCCTGTGTGTGTGTGTGTCAATATGTCTATCAGTGTGTGTGTGCGTGTGTGTGTGTGTGTCAGTATGTCTGTCTGTGTGTGTGTGTGTGTGTCAATATTTCTGTTAGTGTCTGTGTCAGTATGTCTGTGTGTGTTTCAGTATTTGTAAACAAAAAAACAACAAATAGTGAAGGGAAAAGAGACCCTTCACTAGAGTTGAGTAGGTTGAAAGGTATTAGGGCATAACCCAAAAGTAATAATACAGAAGAAAGAGACTGGGATGGGATGACTCAGAGAGTGCTCCCAAGACTCAGTCCTTATACCCTATTGGGAAGGATGCTCCACTGTTATGTGGTGACAAATTGCCAGTCCTAGAGCATAAGACTAACCTATACAAAATAATAAATCTTTATTAGTCCCTCTTGAGGGTTAAATAGCTCATAGTGAGAAAAGGGGTGTATATACAGTTTAGGTGAAAAAATACATAAAAAATTAATTATAAGAAATAAAGACCTACAGCTATTCTGCTAGCTGTACAAGTAGCACACCATATCGGCTGAATACTTAAATCGTTACAATGTTTGTATAAACTGCTGCTAGTAACTTTTTTGCAACAGTGTATCAGTAGCCGATATTTATTTAGGTGTGGCTCTAGGGAGTAGAGGGTACCCATTGCAATAGATGACTCCAAAGATTATTTCCCACACTCAAATGCTATAGCAGTAATACACACGTGTATGTTAACCCATTCAGGACGGAGTCAATAGTGCACGTTCTGATCAAAACAAAACGTAAACAGAAACTGGAATTTGCGCTATATGTCTGTTCAACCGTAATTCACAGCTGTCACATTAAGTGCACCAACACTTATTATATATCATTTTGTTCAGGAGAAACAGGGCTTTAATTTATCATTAACTATTCATATATGGAACATAATTTATTAAGAACAAAATTTTAAAAAGTGAGAAAATACGATTTTTTTTTTACATTTGTATTTCCATCTGACATTTTAGCTGTGAATGTCATAATACTGTTAGGTTTTACTGCAAAAGAAATGCACATATTTGTAATCAGCGATGTCTCACAAGTACAACCGTACCCCCCATTAACAGGTTTTATGGTGTTTTGGAAAGTTACAGGGTCAAATATAGAACGTTCCATTTTCAAATTGAAATTTGCCAGATTAGTAATGTTATCTTTGAGACGGTGTGGTAGCCCAGGAATGAGAATTACCCCCATAATGGCATACCATTTGAAAAAGTAGACAACCCAAGGTATTGAAAGTGGGGTATGTTTAGTCTTTTTTAGTAGCCACTTAGTCACAAACACTGGCCAAAGTTAGCGTTCATATTTGTTTTTGTGTGAAAAAGCAAAAAACTAATATTTGGCCAGTGTTTGTGACTAAGTGGCTACTAAGAAAGACTGGACATACCCCACTTGCAATACCTTGGGTTGTCTACTTTTGGTTCGAGGAACGCTGCAACAGTGTATAAGTAGCCGATATTATTTAGGTGTGGATCTAGAGAGTAGAGGGTACCCATTGCAATAGATGACTCTAAAGATTATTTCCCACGCTTAAATGCTATAGCAGTAATACACACGTGTATGTTAATAAGAGGAGTCTTAATGCTGTATCGTTGAGTTGAGGGGGTTATAAATCGTCAAGGTAATATGGAGATTATACCAGAGTATTTGGGAAGAAGAACGGTAGCGTTCCTCGAACCAAAACTACGGTCGAGATGCCACTTAACCGACATACTTATGTATTTCTAAGACCACGGCTTTCTGCATTTAATCTATTTAGAGGATGAGGGGGTCTTATACTTATTAGGTCTTAGATTCTCAGCCGGGACCCATGGGTCCTTTGCCATTCTGGACAGTAATCTTTTTAGTAAGTTAGGGATAGTCCAGTACCTAGTTACACCAGGGAGTACGCTATAGATCAATAGCATTTAGTAATCTGTATTTTACAGTTACCTTACAAGCTCTGTTTATACACGAGGACCAATCTCTCTGTCTATTCAGGTCCGGCTATCCTTCACTGCTGTCCGTTCTAAGACTACCTTATAATTACCTACTTTACCTTTTGGGGGGGGGGATTTACTGAGTGTTATAATTGGGGCTTTTATCGTTACGGCTAGCATCTTGAGCGTTCTTTTGGTTCGAGGAACGCTGCCGTTCTTCTTCCAAAATACTCTGGTATAATCTCCATATTACCCTGACGATTTATAACCCCCTCAACTCAACGATACAGCATTAAGACTCCTTTTTTACCCGCTCTTATTAACATACATGTGTGTATTACTGCTATAGCATTTAAGCGTGGGAAATAATCTTTGGAGTCATCTATTGCAATGGGTACCCTCTACTCTCTAGATCCACACCTAAATAATATCGGCTACATATACACTGTTGCAAAAAAGTAACTAGCAGAAGCTTATACAAACATTGTAACGATTTAAGTATTCGGCCGGCCGATATGGCGTGCTACTTGTACAGTTAGCAGAATAGCTGTAGGTCTTTAATTCTTTTAATTAATTTTTTATGTATTTTTTCACCTAAACTGTATATACGCCCCTTTTCTCACTATGAGCTATTTAACCCTCAAGAGGGACTAATAAAGATTTATTATTTTGTATAGGTTAGTCTTATGCTCTAGGACTGGCAATTCGTCACCACATAACAGTGGAGTATCCTTCCAAATAGGGTATAGGGACTGAGTCTTGAGAGCACTCTCTGAGTCATCCCATCCCAGTCCCTTTCTTCTGTTCAGTATTTGTTAGTATATGTCTGTGTGTGCGTCAATATATCTGTTAGTGTATGTATCTGTGTGGGTGTGTCAGTATGTCTGTGTGTATGTCTGTCTGTGTGTCAGACATACTGACACACACACACAGACATACTGTGTGTGTGTCAATATGTCTGTTAGTGACTGTCAGTATGTTTGTGTGTTTCAGTATTTCTGTTAGTATATGTCTGTGTGTGCGTCAATATATCTGTTAGTGTATGTATGTGTGTGTCAGTATGTCTGTGTGTGTGTCAGTATGTATGTATGCATGTCAGACATACTGACACACACACAGACATAGTGTGTGTCAATATGTCTGTCTGTATGTGTGTGTGTCAGTATGTCTGCCAGTGTATGTCTGTGTCAGTATGTATATCTGTGTGTGTGTGTGTGTGTGTCAGTCAATATGTTTGTCAGTATGTGTCTGTGTGTGTCAGTATTTCTGATCGTATAGGTCTGTGTGTGTGTCAATATATATGTTAGTGTATGTATCTGTGTGTGTGTGTGTATGTGTGTCAGTATGTCTGCCAGTATATATTTGTGTGTCAGTATGTTTTGAATCTCTCTACTTTAGTTCCCCCACTGTATTTGGGTGAAAAGTGTAATTGGGGGTTGGGTGTAATTGGGGTGGTGGGAGGGGCAGAGCCCGGGGGGCCCAAGAAAATGCTTGCCCAGAGTCCTTTTCATATTATAGACGGCACTGGCATAACCATCAATGTTGAAACATGGGCAAAGAGCAAGTTAAAGAAAACCCTCAAACAAGTGGTTTTCCTATATCTCATTTCAGTAGCTATAGTGCATGTGCTGTAATTGCTTTCACTGTTTTTTCTCTTGTGAGCTTTGTTTTAATTGATTTTTCTATAGGTATGTAGAGGCAGATGCCGATGTGATGGCAATGAGACCAGTGTCAGTGTCTTAGATGCCTTGCTTGGTAAAGTCTTCTGACTAATAGGATGCGGCAGAATATAAGCAATAACAATGTGGGGTTTACTTCACTGTAGAACACACAAACCCAGCTTGGTAGCTATGATGTGTATGTTGGATATGACATAAGTGATACATTAAAAACCCAAAAGGACCACTAAAGGAACATAGACCTCTTCATCTCAATTAAGTAGTCTAAGTGCAGTAGTCTTTTAGTTTTCACACTGCCATGCAAAGCATTGGGTTTAATAGATACGGCAATGCTTACATTTCAGAGTTAAATATGCCTCTTGTGGCCGTCTACATGACAGCAACTAGGGAAACTACCGCTGTGAGAACCAAGCCAAACTTGGTTCCCACAGTTAACCCCTATTTCATTGAAGGAACGCAGAATTTAATGAAAATTAGAAGAGTCAATATGACGTAGCGGGACGAAAGGCAGATTAAGCGGCAGAGGAAAACACTACAGCGGTGGGAATACAGGTTTGTCACTACAAGATAAAGGCAGTCACTGGTTTAGGGTGGTTAATATTTAGCACCAGCAACTGATTTAAATATGCATAAACTAAGGGAGTTAATGCATATAATCATATATGTTTATGTAAATGAACAAAATAAATTACATGTGGTGGTTAAACTGGGGACACATTAGTTAATATTGGAAGAATCACTTGGCAGCACAACCCTCTGGACCCATAACTTTGTAACCTTCATCACCATGCAAAAGAACGTCAAAATAATATATATATATATATATATATATATATATATATATATATATATATATATATATATATATATATATATATATATATATATATATATATATAAAAAAATAACTATCCATCTATAGGTTTTCTAGCAATTTGACTGGAACAGTGTATAGATAATATCTTGTCTATAATAATAAGAGAGATGCATGTTAACCATTTTTTTTATATATTTCTGCAAACTTTAACAATAAATATATGTTTTTCTTTCTTTGTTAAATTGCAGGGTGTTTTTTGAGGCAGGTCAGATCCTCTCCCAAACCTCTCATACTTTTAGATGCGTACAGTGCATCAGTGTATAAAACCTGGATATAAATTTAATATTAAAAACAATACAAGTAGCAATTTATGCATGTTTAGCATATTCTGGTTCCGTCCAGATAACTGAAATGTTATTGTGCAAACATGCAAGTCAAATCAATATATCTAGCATGTGATGATAAAGGTCATAGTCTACATAAGGATTTATGTGTCATCAAAGAGTACAATGTTGCATATTGTCATTTTTACAGTTCCTGATGCACTAGTGTACAGGCAATTTAGAGGACTCATGACACAGAAGCATAATCACATCATTGAGGGCTTCTCACTATTAACAAGAATGTGAAAATTGTCAGTCGAGTCGAGATGCCAGATTAGTGCATGGAAAATAGATTAGTAATTGAAAATCAAGGTATCTGATAATCTAGAGTTACAAGAAAATAAGAATTCCATGCTGTACAGGCAAAAAGCCTACATATGCCTTGCAAAATCAATGCAGTTCCTCCTACTCGCTGCAACATATCCCAGTCCTCTGCATGGTTCAGAAATAACTGTTAATAATCACCTTGTATTCCGAGAGCCATTCTTCCACTACTCCACGGTCAGATCCCAGCATCTTCTTACCACGCCAACTGCTCTCTCACTAAGGGAACATAGAATTTTGTTACACTCAGCAAGTTTGTTTCACTATATAAAGTCCTACTGTCAAATTCTGATTTTCCCAATGACACGGTTAAATTTAAGCTAAATTTAATTGTTAAAACTTTATACCTAGAATTGTTAGAAAGGCACAAAATATTTCTACTGGCTGTTTGCAGATATTGTTTATTCATATTAAGCCGATTTGGTAGGTTCATTCTTAATGGAACAGGATCAGTTGGTTCCAAAACAATGCCCATTTACTTATGTGTCTGCACTAAAGACACTTTAAAATCACTGTCTGTGGATATAATTTATTCATTGTCGTGAATATCGGAGGAAAAGATCCCTGCCGAATCAGATATGTGCTTCCTGTATACATGCTGTATATCAACCATCGGTACATTCCAAGCAGCATAACCACACTGTATTGGCTATAGTGCCAGGAGCGTAAAGAGACAAATCCTGCCTCCACTACAGTTATCAGAGAGCCACAAACACTGTGAAATAAGCCTTGTAGTACAGGGCTTAGGTCATTGGCTGGCGGCGATCAGCTACACTTCACGACTTAGCTCAGGAGAGCCAACAGAATCTCCTGCTTAACAGCAGATTTCTCCCCAAAAGAAATAGTGGAGACAAAACGGCACCTGGTGGACACTAGGTAAGAAATTAAATTGTCTACCCAGCGCTTACTCTGAAGATCACTCTGCTTTGCTTGGCAGTGTGTTCCAAGAAATGAATGGCTCACCTGTCATCGAAATGTGAATGCACAAAGAAGCAGTGATCTGAATAAGCTCTGTTCCAGAGAAACATTTAACAGGCAGCTTTCAGGAAGAGAACACTACAGGATTTGACAGTTTTCTTTAACGTGACAGGCATTTCACTTTATTTTTATTGAAAAGATGGCAATTAGCATACATCAATAATTATACTTCTTAAATGTCATAGATGGAAAATACAATTACTATGTTTAACATGAACATAAAAAGTCAAGTTCCATGTGTGAAGAGCCTTCTATGACGTAATTACATTGCCTCATTGAGATCGCTTCTTCAGATTAACAAACCTAATTTTAAAAGCATGTCTTAAACGATGAAAATGCTTATAGTTGCCAGTCTGAACCATTTCCAGTTGCATAATATCTTTCTTACAAAATATGCCCAAAATTAAGCTGGGCATCAAGAAAAAGTAATTCAGAAACACCTCTCTTCGTTGAGATTGTACTAATGATTCTGTTCTAAAGAAGGATTTCATGGCACTAGAAAAAGTGCAGATAGTCAAGCTACAAAATTAATAAAAGGAATGGAGCATTTTAGTTACGAAGAAAGGTTAAAAAAATGTAAATCTCTTTAGTTTGGAAAAACGGCATCTCAGAGGGGATATGATAACATTATACAAATATATTTAGTACCAGTACAAACCATTATCTAGAAATCTATTCATAACCAGGACACAAGGTCACGCATTTAGGCTGGAAGAAAGGAGATTTCATCCAAGGCAAAGAAAAGTTTTTTTTACAGTAAGAACTATAAGGATGTGGTTCTATCAGAGTCCATACAGATGTTTAAACAGCAATTGGATAAATACTTCCACTTCCATAACATACAGGGATATAATTTTAATTAGTAGGGTAATAGCTGCTTGATCCAAGGAGATATCTGGCTGCCATTTTGGGGTCAAGAAGGAATTTTTTTCTAGTTTGTTGCAAAATTGAAAGTGCTTCAAACTGGGTTTTTTGCCTTCTTTTGGATCAACAGCAAAAACAAACGTGAGGAAGGCTGAACTTGATGGACGCAATCCTCTTTTCAGCTATGTAACCATGTATAAATTCTCATTCCAATTCTTTTTAATATATGGTAGCAAACTGTTTGCATTTGCAGTTGTCTCCTGAGACTACACCAAGCTGGAAAGTCAATAAATAAGTGCTCCCGGATCTTCTCCGCAGAGGATTTGCCAAAAATAAACAACCCTTAAATGTATAATTAGCATGACGATTTCTCTTGGTAAAATAAATCATTTTACATTTTTCTATGTTGAATAGCATTTCGCTATTAACTGCCCAGTCTCCTTTTTTTTTTTTTATCTTTTAATCTTTTTGTCCTGAGAAAGAACACTGAGCCTTTTACGAAACTGCAAAAAGGCTATTTTCTGTGTTCAGTTTTTTGTCCGGTTCTCTGTTTACGTACTAACTCTCTCTACAAATTCTCAGTTAATATTTATACAGCAATCTCTAGTGTGGCACAGCACCAGACCTTTGCAACATCTATGAAGATCACATATACACAGGGACCATCTCATAACAAACAGGTAACTTCAATAATTACACATTTCCCGTTTTGACTCCTACTAATAATACTTACATATTTTAATTTAAAAAAAAACAAAAAAAAAAACCATTTACCCTATTTAAGAGCTTACATAAACTAAAATGAATCTCATACAATTCAGCTGCCTAGCTAAGTAACATAGTGGTCAAGGTAGCAAATGAGGAGGCTATTTCAAATTAGCTATTTCAAATTAGACAATTGCATGAACAGATCTTAATCTGGTAACAGATACAATTTCAAACTTTCACAGGGTCTTTTGTTTAACTTTGAGTACCAGCATACACTTTGCATGGGTCTCTATTTATAAGCTTTTTAAATGATTCAATACAGTAAGAAAAACATTTCAAATTATTTGCCTACAGAGGTCACCATTAAAGTCTATGAGAATGTTTGCAGATAAATCATTTGGAAATTTTTCTAACAGTATCAAATCATTTGGAAAGCTTATTAACACTGAGACCACAGTTAGCAAAGTATCTTCTTATTAGAACCTGGGGCAACTTAGCCACAATCTGCTTTTAAAACATCAATTATCATCAGTTTGTCACAGCTCTTTTAAAGGGACACTATAGGCTCCCAGACCACTTCAGCTCATTGAAGTAGTCTGGGTGCAGTGTCCCTATTGCACTTAGTGCTGCAATGTTAAACATTGCAGTTCCAGAAAAACTACAATGTTTACATTAGCACTATGTCTGCCTCCGATGGCTGTCTCCCAGATTAAAAATGGGACCTTTGGTCTGGTAAATGACGCTGATGTCCTCACGCCCTGCATGAGGACAGCCAGCATCAGTTATTTCCTAATGTGGTCTAATGTGCGTGTGGCATTTGCCGCGCATGCGCATTAGCGTCCACTTGTTGCGGGACTTGGGAGGAGACAGACACGCAACTCAGCCCCAAGGGACATCGGCATAGGCAGCTATAGTGCCAGGAATACAACTTTGTAGTCCTGGCACTATAATATCCCTTCAAGTTAAATTACTACCTTTTTACAAAGTAGTAAAAAGAACAAGGTTAGTGAAGTGTTGCAGTGTTATACATTAGATAGTATCATGGACCAGCCAGACTGCGTGAAAGGATTAATGATAACAGATGTCTAGCGAACTCATTCTTCAAAAGAAGTACAAAGTAAAAGAACTCCAAAGCAAAAGTTACCTGATGCCATCATCATACTACGAAGATTATTTACTAAAAATTTTACTGTTGGAAATTGGAAACGGAATTGCAAAATGTAGGCTATAACAGCCAAGCTGTGACAGAGGAGTAGATTTTGTATTATTTTTTTAAAGCAATGCAGCTATTTTGGTCTTAATGCTACAAATCGAACGCAAAATAAAGGTTTCTAAACATATATTAAGATATCCACTCATCTGCCCATTCCCCATACAAGTACAGAGGAAGCATTAGTTTACCTTTATGATTTCTCTCAGTCTACAATTCTCTTTATCATGAATATGCTTTGTAATGGCGAAATAAATGTACCCATTGTAAGAAAACATTACACCATACATACATTTTATATTCCAGTGTGTGTTCTTCCAAATGTCAGGCTGCCATGGCATAGAAGCATCTGTCACAAAGACCATTATATTTTATCTATACATTTTGCTAGCAAATGTATAGATTAGGAGAAATACATATTTAAAATAGATGTTTCCCCCAGCTGTCAGTCAAAGCCTTGGTGCCCACACGGGGTGCCTCTGCTCTTCTCCCATAACAACCACATAGTGCTATGGAAACTCCCTAGTAGGCACTTCTAGTGTTGGCTAGAGTATAGGAATGGAGTAACGTTACGTGAAGTCACTACATTCAGACACCAGCACGCTGGCAACAAAGCCACAAAGCAGTGCTGGACGAGAGGAAAAGTGAATAACTTTATATTTTACATTTAATACCTCATGTATCTTGTGCTATATGGTGTATTCATTGTTTATGGGAGCGATTGCAGGTAAGTAACTTTTTCCATAGCAGGTTGACTTTAAGAGAGTTCAATCAAAAATACACATCTCTTCAACTGAGATTGGTGATAAGTTAATGTCATTAAATGCAATTCTGCGAAATCAGTCATCAGATGACAAAACTAAATAAGCATGTCTGCCACAGAAAACATTCTCAGGAACACATGATGTGCTTATCTGTTTAGAATGTGAAAGAAGGAATTTAAACAGTCTAGGATAAATAATCTCCCATATTCAAACTTAAACTATAAAGAAATTCTTAAACAGATTGTAATAATGTAGCAAAAAATAGTACACACACAAAAAAAATTAAAATGTCATGTTTGTGCATTGAAATAGTGTGCTGGTACATGCAACCATTAAAGGAACACTATAGTCACCTAAACAACTTTAGCTTAAAGGGACACTCCAGGCACCCAGACCACTTCTGCCCATTGGAGTGGACTGGGTGCCAACTCCCACTACTCTTAACCCTGCAAGTGTAATTATTGCAGTTTTTTTATAAACTGCAATAATTACCTTGCAGGGTTAACTCCACCTCTAGTGGCCGTCTACTAGACAGCCACTAGTGGGTACTGCCTGGTTTCTAGCACAGGAGACCTGTGCTAGAGCGTCACTGGACGTCTTCACGCTGTGTGAGGACCTCCAGCGTAGCTCATTTCCCCGTAGGAAAACATTGAAATGCATTTTCAATGCTTTCCTATGGGGAGTG